TCATTCTGCAATTGATCTGTGTAGCTTTTTTATGTAATGGTAGTTTCTTTAGGGAAGGAATCCTAAGATTCTGAGACTCAGTGCATTTCAGACTAATGCACTTTCATCTCGAGTTTTCTCTTTCACTGTCATTTGCATGTTAATATATTGATTTATTGTTAGAGAGTATCTCAATTATGCACTGTGTATTACTCAATTTAATTACAATTACCATGCATATGTCAGGATGGCCTTATAATGATATTTTGAAAGGATGTGACTCAAACAATAAAAACAGATCCGACACTACTTCTAGGACTACCAGTGTTGTGACTTTGTATCCTGGACCAATTAAGAAAAGTAATTATCTCCAATCTCAGCTGTCAATAAACTAAACAAATTGAAAATTGCTATCCATGAGCACTTCACCTTTTATATAAACTAATACACAGAGCATATCTTTCTGTCTCTTGCACTTATTTGATCAAGTGAGTTGCTGGTCTTTGTTTTCGACTGAATCTTACTCAGGGGGGCCACATGAAGTTAGAACCCCCCTTGAAATCGTGAACTGTAGCCTGAATGGAGGAATGTTTTCACGCAATATCTTATTTTCAGTGCTTAACTTCTCACATACCGTATGTATACCAAATAACTTTGAATACACTGCAATGTGCATTCTCACTCCAGTGAACAACTAAAGGCCAGACATTCACATTTTATTAGTATAACAGCCAACTATGCAGATCTGAGCACCCTTAATACCTAAAAGAAAAAAATATTTTATAGAGTGAGTAGAATACAACATTTACTATAGATATTCCCATTTTATGAGGAATTATGCATTTATACATACTGTACAACCTGACCTACACTATGTAGACCCTTTTTTTCTCCTAATATTGGAAGCTTCAATTCTATCTCAGTCCTCCACAGATTTGTGGGGGCTTTGTAGAGTATAATCCAGCCTAGACTTTCTGCTCTTTGAGTTTTTTAGATGTTTTAGACAAGTACACTGTAGAGCAGCTAAAAGAACTATTTTAAATCGCTGTTCTATGAAGTCATCAATAGATCTTATTCTTAAACATTCCTTCTCCTTAAGAGACCTGCTAAGCATATCCCACAGGATATCAGAAGCTGGTAGGTTTCATTGTAATAGAGCTCTTTTAAAAGAAACTTCAGCTGGAGAAATAATTAATTTAGATTTTTTTTCTAATTTCAGAAACTGTGGAAACTGCGGAAGAAAGAAGAGGAAAAGTTCCACTTTTTAGTAGCTAAAAAAGCCGATCTGTTGGAGGTTTTTTAAAACGCATTTAAAGATCCAACTACTGTACAGTATAACAGAGAGCTCAGCTGGACAGGACACCTCTGGGATGAGGAACAGGACACACATGCTGAGCAGAACCCAGTCCTTAAAAATGTTGGAACTGTATTTCAAATGTTAAAAGAAAATGTTTTTTCCTTTATGCTGTGCACTCTACCTAAGGAAAATAACTCAAAATACAATGAATAAGACTGCTTTCACAATCTTAGAACAAACCTATTTGTGATCAATAGGCTTTTCCTGTAGCAAAACTGTAACACACACCTAAGAAACTCAATGTCCAACCAATACTAATTCAATTGTAAGATTTGCAGTGTCTTATGTTGAGTTTCTTCACATTTATTTTTAATGTCAAGAAAACCATCCTCTGGTTCCACAAATCAAATCTGTAGTATCGTATTAATTGGGTTTTCCATCAATAATATTATTGATCATCTTTGTTGCTAGGTTTTGAAGACTAACTCCTTGGTAACATTAAATGTCTTGTAGTGTGTCAATTAAAAAAAACAATTTCTCCTCCTTTCTTTATAACTAGTGTTTGTTTGTTGTTGTTTTTTTTTGTATTTTGAACTGAAGATTCTTATGGCACTCAGAGTCAGAATAAGCCAAGAAAGTAACCTTGATAGTGGCCTTCTCGTCCACCCTCTGCTCTCCTGCTACAATGTAACAGAAATACACTTAAATTTGTTTCTATTTTCCTCTACCACGCAGGTGTCAGGTTCTACAAAAGATGTTTAAAATGTTTTGCAGCTCATGTACGTCTGTTATTGTACAGTTTAAATGCATTACTGAAAGCCTGGTTGGGCCAGGTCAGTAATGGGGTGATACATGTCCAATAAAAACCAGTCTGCTGCTGTAGGTTGGCCAGTAGGAGGCACTCTTCTCTCTAGACTACAACTTGTAAACCAATGCCCTAGTGTGGTCAGGGAGACTGTGCTGTAGAAGGTGCTCTCCTGAGGAAGAAACATTAAATCAAGATCCTGACTAATTGTCGTTATAAACCCCATGGCACTGTTCATGAGAGTGGGAACTAATGGGGGAGTTAACCCCAAAGGGTTGGCTAAATTCCACCTTGCGATGCTATAATCAGGACAAATCCCCCAATTAATTTAATTTAATTGATAAAGAAATTCCATATAATAATACAATTATATTACATATTTTTACAGCGCAACCACAACTTCTGACATTTACTCTGTATTTAGGCTGTAAATATGCAGTATAACAACAAGCTCTCCATTCTCAACTCTTCCGTTTATAGAGTACTGTATACTAAAACAGTAAAAGAGTTCAAAAGTGTTTACTGTGTACAGTTTTAACATTTCCTTGCTTTGAACTTGCAGTAATGACGCCTTGAAGTAGTAATTAATATCTATTATTTACAACCTACTCCACACACTGAAAGCAAAACATGAAAAAGAAAGACGTAAAGTGATAATTAATATGAAAGAAAAATAGAATAATCATGATTGTATTCTATCCTTTGTAGTTGCACACCTAAATGTAGTTTAAATTAATACACTTACCTTAATGAGTCATACAAGTAGTTGAGTGGCCTATGTCCATGTGCAATAAGATTGTTTCATATGATTGCAGAATAAATACCACTATCTTTGTAAGGTCCTTCAATCTGGTAGTGTAGTTAAACAAAGATTCAACCACGTAGACCAAGGAGCTCTCTAAACAATTCAGGGATAAAGTTGTATAAAGGCAGATGAGAACAAGGTTCTAAAATAATTTGGAAGACTCTTAAGCATTCAATCGATGTCGACTATTCGTAATAACAATTCCTTACATTTATATAGCACTTTTCTGGACACTCCCTGCACAGTGTTTTACAGGTAAGGGGGACTCCCCTCCACCAGCACCAATGTGCAGCCCCACCTGAATAATGTGACGGCAGCCAAAGTGTGCCAGTACACTCACCACACACCAGCTATAAGTGGGAAGGAGAACAGAGTGATGAAGCCCGTTCGTAGATGAGGATAATTAGGAGGCCAATCTTGATAAAGGCCAGAACACCAAGGTAACATCCTTCCTCTTTTTGAGAAATACCCTGAAATTTGGACCTTGGTTTTACATCTCAAGAGATGAGAGAGGTGCCTTTTAACAGTACAGTGTCCCCATCACTATACTGGAGTATTAGGACCAACACAGACTGCAGGGTGAGCCCCCCCTACTGGCCCCACTAACACCTCTTCCAACAGCAACCTCAGTTTTTCCCAGGAGGTCTCCCATCGAGGTACTGACCAGGCTCACAGCTGCTGAACTCAGTGGGTTGCCAGTTGCAAGTTGCAGGGTGATACAGCTGCCTGCAGAATGGATCAGGAAGCTTATCAAGACTGATCGGAACATAGATGGAGCAAAGTACTGGCAAATCTGATACAGATTTAAAGCAATTCAATTTTCAGCGGGATGATGATGTAAAGCACAAGGCAAAAGTGTTGAGGTGTTTAAGAATAAGAAAAGGAAAGTCCTCTACTTGTAGTGTCCATTCAATTTCCTGACTGGAATGATTGAGAATCTGTGAAAGGACTTAAAAATTGCTTTTCATAAGTGATTCCCATGCAACCTGAGAGAGTCTGAGCAAATCTGCTAAGAACGGCCACAAAACGCACCGATTAGCCAGTGTGTTAAATAAGTGGTGGGTGGGTTGAGTGTCGTCAGGTCGGTGTCGACTCATCGCGACCCTATGGATAGTTCCCTTGTCACTACCCATAGAGTTTTCATGTCAAGATAGGGAAGTAGACTGCCAGGCCTGTCTTTCACAAAGATAGTGCTAGTGTTGGTGCTGTTGTCACGGAAACATAGTCCTCTGCCACCAACACCGCCCCATACTGCTGCTGCCCAGTATGGGTTATTAGAGAACCTTGCGCCCGATGTGGGACACAAACCCACTACCCTGAGATTAGGAATCTCATTCTCTACCAACAGAGCTAGTCGGAGCCCTGCTACAGTATGAGAGACCCACAAAGACTTGCAGATGCAATTGCTGCTATAGGTGCTTCGACCAAGCAAATCAACAAATTTCAGTCTTCTCTTTTAAATTTTGCTGACATATACTGTAAGTAAGACTTCGTAAGACTTGGAAGTCTTCAGTTCGAACATTAAGATTTTTAAGGTAAAAAAAATGCACATGCATCATTTTATAATTTGACAAAATAGGTGACAATGGGAAAGGCAAGACACTGCAAATAATCACAATTTATAGGTTTGATTACATTATTATGTGTAAAAACTTATTTTAGATTTTTAATCTGTAACAATTATAGACTGCAGTATTACTGGAGTACAGTTACTGTGGAACTGTTTTTCTGGTATAAACATGAGCTAAACATAAACTGTTGTACAGTATACTGTATGTCCATGTTAATAATAAAGTTTCTGAAGTTCATGCTCTCACTTTTTATGAATACAGAATTTCTATCTGCAGGAATATAATTCCTTCACGTTTTTGAGTTTATTCACTTTCAAAGAGTGTTTGCAACATTTGTAAGTAAACAAGTCGAAACATCACTGGGAGTGAAGGGAGTGAATACTTTTGCCAAGCACTGTTGGCAACACGAGGACATTGCACTTATAATCTAACAAATATAAAGTTATGGACGGTTAGACGAGAATTGAAGTAACGCTAGGACAAGGCGTGGACACTCATTTGGTGGCAGATTAATTGTACAGCAGGCAGGCAGATACATAACAGTTCGAGTGATGTGTGTGGTACTTAATCGCAGCAGCATCTGATGGGCTGCATTTCAGACTACTGTACTTAAGAAGAATGCAGCGCAGGTTTTCCTAGTTTGTTCAGAGCCCATCCTTTCCAAGCTCTAAGCAAAAACACAACATTTCAGAACTATGACGTTACCGTCGCTTATGAGTGAATTGTAATGAAATTATTCTAAATGAATCTCTTTCGCGTAGAATTACGATTCTATCTCGTGATCTCGCACTTTTATATCGTGTAGGGGGCGGCAGACCCTGAAGGAGAGGAACAGAGACGAAGTGAAGAAGAGAGGATTATAAACTTGGACTGTTCTCAACCCCACCCCCATCATTTTCGAAGCCAGATTGAACTGCAAACTTTTATCCCTGGCATCAATTTAAGGAATTTGGTAAGTCTCTTATTGCTTTTAACCTTTATCCAAGAAAATATATTTTCTATATCAATATGCTTGTAATTTATTTGAAATAAATGCTATTGGTCATTAGGTGAATGCTTGAAGTCATAACAGAAAAGGTACTTTATCTGATTGAAGTGATAAATTGAAAACATTGTTACAGTTTTTCAGTTTGAATTGGTATTTGGGAATTTGCACTAGCAAATCAGTTCTGTGTTACTTCTGTATTTTAAATATTAAGCGTTTCGACTATTTTAGGCTACGCAGATTGCAAGAAAATTGGAATTATTCGCTATTTTATTCCCTTTGAAATCTGTTTCTGTAGACTTCAACATTTGAAGGTGTTAAGGAGACTAGCCATGTACTGTATGTTACTGTAAATTTGAAGTTTCTTATTAATTTTAAACGTATAATTAATTACATAGGATTTGTCGCTGCCTAAAATAAAGATTGGATTAAACTGTAGAGAAAGCTGAAAGATTCACGGGACGAAAAAACAAGATGTGTATTCACTTGAAGGAGCATATTTTAAAAGCTAGGTATTTCGTTGGAAAAAGCTATACAAAAGGAAGTTTAAAAGGGATCTAGATTGAATTATGAACAACTCAGTCATCTGATACCCAACACACATTCCCTACTTTGCCATCCATATACTTTGCAATACATTGTACTGATTGATTCAACATATCGATTTATATTGATTGTTAACCATAATAATGTTAAATATTCACGTTAAAATAGTGCTGACCTAGACGGTCACAAAACAACAACTGAAATTAGGAGGAGTGGTTAAAGTCGTCATGAAGTAAGAAGTGTCGATTATAAAGACATTAAATAAAATGGGAAGATAGCAAATAGACCACTCTAAAATACGCCAAACATTATCCACAGACGAAACCTGTCCGGTCTCGCTCGTATACTTCGTCTTTATTCACAGAACTATTCGGTTGGGTTCTTTCTTTTTGCAATTTGTAAAAATTACATGATCTGGAACTAGAATTCAGAGAGCAACTTCATATAACTAAATGTACTAAAAATAAAAAAACTAATTGCACTCATTTCAAAAGCACTTTTTAAAAAAGTTTCGCCTCAGTAGTTTTCTTAAACTTACAGTACAAAGCAGTTTAGTATGCTGAGCTATTATCTTCATGCATTTTACAGTAGCGTCTCCTTATTGCATTTAGTAAATCAAGCAGTAAAACCGGTTAGTGTTGTAATTTTTGTCAGATTTTACATCTCTTGTGACTCATTCATCGAAATTTCTAAACCTATACGCTCAATCAATGCCATTAGAGACAACGTTATTTTGATTAAGAATTGACGGTAATAAAAACATTAAGGCCATGTGAAATCTTTAGACAAAATAAGGCATTATCACATATTACTGCAAGTAAATAAAGACGCATATTGTTACAAATGCGTCCTTATTTACCACGTTTATTTTTATAATTTTCCCCCACTTTTCTAACTTTTTAATTTTTTAGAAGAAACTGCTTCAAGATGTTTTGTATTAACAATAAAAAAAACTGTTACAATCATAATGGGTACAATTGTGTTTTACATGCCACGTCAATGTGAGGAGTTGTCCATTTAGCAGTTAAGTATCATTTTGCATGAAGTTGCACAGGCAACACTTCTCGTGGGACACAACCTGTGATTGTATTCCAACTCCTGCCTCCTCTTTCTGAGCCTTAAAAGTGGAACTCGGATTTTAAGTGTGGCTAATGAATCATTTGCTTTATTTTTATAGCAGGACACCATGATGTCTTACATCAAAACCCTGCTTCTGTTTACGCTATTGTGCACGCCAACCACCAGCTTCTGTTACAGACTCTATCAAAGTGAATCCAACTTTCTCTGCAACAATGAAATCCTTTCAGGGGCAAAGAAAAGCGACCTCCAGGACAACTACCTACCTGAAAGAAGGAGGTTCCTCTACCTTCCTGGGGGTGACCTCTCGTCTGGAGAATTAAGAGAAAAAAGGACGTTTCCCGCCTCGCAGTACAAATACCTGCGCCAGACTCAGCTGAAGGGGAAGATGTACCAGAACAGTGCCAAAAGTGACCGCCGGACCAAATTCACCTTGTCCCTAGATGTGCCCACCAATATCATGAACATCCTTTTCAACATTGCAAAAGCAAAAAACTTGCGAGCAAAGGCGGCAGCCAACGCTCGCCTCATGGCTCAGATCGGGCGAAGGAAGTGAAGGGATTTCGGAGCAGCTCTGTGGAGTCTGTTACGTTTTTTTTTTAAGTCTATATATTGTTTTCTCTCTGCCATTTTGGGTTGTGTTAGAGCTTAGGTTTCAAAAATAAACATTTGCTTCTGACGAGCAATACTGTATCCGGCGGTGCTCTTCTCATCTTGGAGTGTTGTTTCGCTGGTATTGATAGTGTCCCCTCGCTTTTGAAATAACGTGGTGACAAAAACAATGAAAGAGCGAAAGCTCTCAGTAGTGTCCAATAACATAAAATAAGTGAGAAGTCAAGGTTATTTAACCACATAGAAAAACAGCAATTATGTTTAGCCTAGGTAGACCTGGCATGAGCCAAACTGAATAGGAAGCAATCCTGCCAAATTATCAGAACTGTCACTGCAGTGCAGGTAGAGCAACTCAAGGTTTATTTGTTATGAAAAAACTGGAACGAGGAACTTACTGTTGAGGATACTCTTGCACAGACGTCTGGAGATGATTGGATGGCTTCTAAACAAACATTGTATTTGCAAAATTAACAGAATACTCAGATACATTTTGAGAGGTGCAAAAAGATTTTTAAAATGCCATAAATACTGACACTAAATTTAAAATGGATTATAATGAAATGTTGTGAATTACTGAAAACAAGGTTAAGGCATTAAGGACGAGAACTTTTAAAATGTGCATTACACAGCATTCCTTAAACCCTTGAATGAGCCTGGAAATACAAAAATTGAATAGTTCTTTTTGGGAACTGAACTTAACATACTGTAATAAAGACACTTTTCAGCAATGTTTTTATAAGGTTTGCATCGCTCAACCTTTAATAAAAGAGAACATTGAATTATTTTTTAATATTTTATTGTCTTAACTAGAGGTCAATGTCTTGTATTAGGCTTTCCTCCTTTTTTCTCCTACAGGACGTGATTGGAGATGTTACAACTCATTCATTTGAGGTTTAATGTTGGACAGGACAATTAAAACTTTCCACGTGCAGTGCATGTATTAGCATTCGCAATGTACTGCCGTCTCAGATTCTCAGCTTTGTTTTCGATTGGAACAAAATCACGGTTTACCAAATCTAGCAACAAGTACAGCAATAAGTATGCTGCACATGTGAATGATTCAATATAAATATATAATGAAGAGGATGTTTCTTCTTAATATGATTTAATCAAATTCTAAGAGTTACTCAATCTGGCATAGTTCCCTTATGCCATACATATCACGTTTTTGACCAAAAATCTCAACTTCAACTGGATGTTAAAGTGAATTTCTTTTAAAATATCCAGATTTAAATACTTCCCACAAAACAACTCTTCGATTAAAAGTACAGGTGGGTAGCTGCGTCAGCATGCGTAGTCTGCAAAGGAACAAGTAATAGGTTTATTCCATGCCGAAACGTTGTGTTTTCTTTCTTCTTTTTTCAGCATGGAATTAACCTATTACTTGTTTCTTCGATTAAAATACTAATCACACACGAAAAAAGAAAGAGCTTGTGCTACGCTAAAACCATTAAACTTTTTATCATTTCTAGAGAAAACTGGTTTATGTAATCTCATACAATCATAATCATTTCCAGCTTTTAAGGAGCTTGAACACCACGCTTACTGTAAGCCCCTGTACATGAATCGTGCCAGCCAGTACCTGATCATATTCTTTTGGAGCTATCCTCCTCAGAGCAGGACACCTCTGCCTTTGGCCTTGACCTTAAATAGACACAGTGGTGTGTTTGTAGCTTTTCAGCAGGTCTGCATTGCATGAGCTCAAATGACAGCATACCACATGTAGTGCTGTATAGGTTATCATCTCACAAGCAGTGAAAGGTGTTTTCTTTACATACAGTAGCTGAGGGTGGTATCTAGAAAATGCAAACTAAAATTAAAAGCTTCGTGGATGTTGTGGTGATGCATTACAGATGAACTAACACAGCGTCTCGTGTCCATTACGATAAAAGGGCATGCCCTTGCTAAGCGGTTTAAAATGTCAAACCCATTACAACTAAAGCCCGATTCACGTCCGGTTTACTAAAATTGAGGGAGACCACAACTCCTTCATACAAATGTCCAGTAGATGGCAGCAAAATACACAAGATTACTTGAAACTTGTAAAAAAACAATTGTCTGAACATCAGGATCTACTTTATTAAATCCTACCGTACAATGTATATTATGTATTCAATACTTACTATTTCCAAGTACACATTGCATTAGGTACCATATACTGTTAACACGTTATAAACATTTATTAATAATATTGCACTTTTTTATGTGCTTAAAATATATCGTCATACATTTTCAATCTCAATTGTATTTCATGCATTTAATTTGATTTGATGCATCAATGGTCATGCATATAACTAATTTAAATTCCATCACATGTATTTTAAGATGTAATAATACTAGTACATACTTATACTAATTATTGCTGTATACCATTTCACATATTGTAAAAATAAAATACAAGCTATTGTATTTACACGTGAGGTTTAAGACAAAATTTTGAAAGAGCGGACCAATATGGGCTGGAAAATTATTCCACAGCCTCGGAGAAGCAGAACTTGTCGGAGTGTTGTTTTGGGAATTGAAAGGAAGTTGAAAGAGCAGAAATGTGCAGGTGTATAGGGAGTTGACAGTTCACTGGGGTGGCCAGGAGCCAAACCACGCAAGCCCTTAAAGGTGAGCTTCAGTAATTTGAATTTTACTCCGAAATCCACGGGGAACTAGTGAAACAAAGCTAAAATATTTGAACATGCATTTTAATTTTTAGACCCAAGCAGCAACGTTCAGTAGTTGGTGACTACTTTGAAAACATTCAAACCCCTTAACAAAAATTAATGTCGCTAGCTGCAATCTACCTTTGTCCAACAGGTGGCGCCACCGCTAAATCTACGTGGCACTTCAAGACGCTTTAACAGTGTTTCCTAAGCCTGGTCTTGGAGTAACGATGTATTTACCTGCTAGTTTTCACTCCAGCCTCGCAATAAATCTACAGTATGTTTGAAGAATTAATTTATCTTCTTGCTTGTTTAGACTTTTATTTATCTTACAGTCAATCCTGGGGTTCCAGAATACCCTACTTCCAGCCGGGTACTCTTTTCCAACAATTTAAGCTCACAGAACTTCACTCTTTATAAATTTATAAATTACTCAAATGAGTGTGGACTGGAGCAATTAGGTACTTCGCTCAAGATAAAAACGGTAGCGTCTGCAGCAGTGACTTGAACCCACAATTTATGAATTAGGAGGCCTTAAACATATCCGCTACGCCTCACTCCATAAGGATTGAAATAAAAAGCGCATTTGACGTTTTCACTCGGCTGCCCAGCACGTCGCTCCCCCCTCCCTCCTCTGTCGCTGCTGCGCGCCGTGGTCGTGACGCAGTTTCCGCCGACGTGGAGTGGGTGAGTGGCTGGCCAGCAGAGTGACGTGGAACTGTATTCCGGCAGCTCAACTCCTGCTGTTGACTGCAGTTGTCTTTTCGACATCGCCAAAAGAAAGAACAGGGATGATAAAGAAATTCGACAAGAAGGACGAAGAGTCCGGTGAGTTTTGTTTCTGAATGCATTTAGACCTCGTGAGATTTGTGGGAAATTTTTCACAGCTGCAAAGACTAGCACATTCCAGGAAGATGTCTCAGGTGGAGAACAGCAGGCCGCAAGACAAACGATCAGGATTTCTTATTTATGTTTTCCCAATCTTTGACTTTAAGTCTAAGATTGAGTGGGCAGTTTTTCCTGTATATACTTCGTGTTACATGCAAACGGTACAATGTCTATCGTGTTTGTTGTACGCGTCTTATGCTTCTGACGTCTGTTTTATACTCAATAAGAACAGGACAGTATAAGTACCCTAAACGCTTGCTCAGTCAGTCAAAATACGAAATAAAGTAACCTGCGAGTGATTGATCTTCCGCTTAACGTGCAGAGTTTGTTGTGTTGCAGTGGTTGTGATCCTTAACGTCCAGAGTGGGCAAAAGTAGTTGACAGTATTTGAAAACATTGAAAATAGGAATAGTATGATGGTGGCTCCATTCTGTTGTATCGGTGTTTTTCTTCAGCTATCGAAGTCTGAATGGATTGCAGAAGTAAGGAATAACGATGTGAAGACTCTGGCATGTTAAAAATGCCGTTTTCTTTTGACATTGTTTTGAAGTTTAGCACTACGCTTTTATGCATACTAAGTGATGGACATTGTGGGTTAATTAATTGATGGCAGTCTCGATTTTGAAATCACATTTTACTTCAATTAACTGTACAGGACCCTACGCATTTAATCGTTGTAGGAAAATAGTTTTTTTTCCAATAAAAGCGAATACGAAATCGGGTTAATTTGGAAAATATTTCTCTGAGTGCTTCTTCTGAGGTTAAGTTGATGTTTTGCAGCGAACAGTACTGCGTGTTTCTTCTGACGCTTAAGTGGTAGAACCCATTTTTAGTAGCAGAAAAAAATCTCAGTAGCTGTACTAACCTTAAACTATTCTAAACTCTTTTAATCTCTTATAATTCATACAGGAAGTGGCTCAAACCCTTTCCAGCATCTGGAGAAGAGTGCTGTGTTACAGGAGGTGCTGATAAATATTTTTCCTTTCTTATGTGGTAGGGGCTACGGGTGGGAGATGCTGGGTGGATATATATACAGTATATATATGTTTATTTCATATATAAAGTTATGCTTTAATATATAGGTGGGGTGCTGCTCTTGTACCCCTGAGCAGGATACTTTGATTTTGGTCAGTGTTCATGAGAATGTGTGAATGGGACTTAACCGGTATAATCAATGGTAAAGACTATAGCCTTTTATTTTGGCTTGAATGTCAACATGTCATTAGGGCATTTCAGTGTATGAAAACCAGTTGAGTGCTATATTTATTATCAATGATCTTAAAACAGTGAAAATGCATTAGCTGTTGGTAAGTTTACATCAATTGATGCTGTGAACATCTTTTCAGAGAACTCAAAACAGAATTTTGCCGATATCTGTTCTTCCCCCTTTCCCTTGAAAATAAAAACAATTTGGTCACTATGTACAGTCTTTTCTGACGTATGATTTGTGGTTTCGTCTATAGGCTCGTATTTTTAACGAGACCCCGATCAACCCCAGAAGATGCCTCCACATCCTCACCAAGATCATTTACCTTCTCAACCAGGTGAGACAGCACTTTGCTATCCTTTTTATTCAAGATGTGAAAAGTGTCAACTGAAAGGTGTCTTTGAATCTGAGATTTTCTTTTGTGTTTTCTAAGGGGGAACATTTTGGAACCACCGAAGCCACGGAAGCTTTCTTTGCGATGACCAGGCTATTCCAGTCCAATGATGTAAATCTGTTTTACAATCAGTATCTACAGGGGCATGTAGTGATAAAAGTGCATAGCGCACAGTACTGTTCAGTCAACCAGTATAGAAATGAATAAACTACATACAGTACATTGCATACTGCATTGTTAAAAATCTTACAATTGAGAATAAGATATGCAGTGAAATTTTTATGTTGAATTATTTTGTTTCAGAATTGGCATGGCGAGTGTAAGGTGTCAGTGCACATGAAATTAAAAGCACACTTTTATGGTAACTTGAAACATTTATAAGAGTTTATTTTTACTACCATTTTAAAATGATCTGTTATTTCTTTGTTTAGTTTCTGTGCTTGTTGTATCTTTTTCATCCCCATCATTTTCCATCCGCAGCAAACACTAAGAAGGATGTGTTACCTGACTATTAAAGAGATGGCAAACATCTCGGAGGATGTGATTATTGTAACAAGCAGGTAATGATGACCTCTGAGGTCTGTTTAATTTTTGTCTGGGCAGAGTTTTTATTTCTTCAGCAATAATCGCGCTTGGTTGCAAGCCATAGTCACTGTAGTTTTAGCTCACTAAGCCACACTGCTCATATTATACTATATTGGGTTTAGAAAGGTTTGTCTAGGAACCTTCAGCAGACGTAATGCAAACTTTCACACTGTTCCCCCAAAATGATCTTAGCACACACTTTCATTTTCTTATTCCTATTCTAGGAATATCAATGTGGCATTTTGGTGCATGAAAACCAGCAAGTTTCTTTTCAGTGATATTAAATTGATTTTTACAATGTTTTTCATGCCTCGATCATTTATATTTCTGATTTCATTTTTAACACATATGGGCAGAAATTTGCAAAAAAAAATATTTTTGGTGCAGTGTGGTTTAGATAATTTCTTTTTTTCTTTTCTGTAACTTTGACTCATGTTTGGCAGACTAGATCTTCTGCTAATTGAATATTATGTAATCTGAAGAAAATCAGGAGTAGCTCTGTTGGAGTTTTAGGATCATTGTTACTAAACCTGGCTTAGCAGTTTGCGCCATATCGCCTCTTCTCAGCTGTATGTTTTTGTGATAAGTCGGCTCTATTACCTTGAGTCAGGTTTCCTTGGAGGTGTTTGTGCTGCTTTCTTACACATGTATAGATGCTGTAACTGTATTTCCTTCCAGCCTGACCAAGGACATGACTGGAAAGGAAGATGTCTACAGGGGACCAGCAATCCGGGCTCTGTGCCGGATCACTGATGTGAGTAAATTTCTCTTTAGTTCCATTTTTAAATCCGATCCGTTTGATCTTCAAATAAAAGCTAGAACAGAGGATAGTTTTTATTCACTCAGTTAACATTGTTTTATGGTTTGTACTTGATTTTTGTTAGTAATTGCTTTGCTCTTTAGTTCCAATGGGTTCTTCAGAACTTTCCTTTTGTATCAAATTGATATATGTATAATGCAGATGTGCGGTTGGTTTTTCAGTGGTATGCATGTGCTGTGTTTTGCAGACTACCATGTTACAGGCAATTGAGAGGTACATGAAACAGGCCATTGTGGACAAAGTTCCCAGCGTTTCCAGCTCTGCATTGGTGTCCTCATTGGTAAGAGATTCAGCATTTCACTACATTTAATGTGTCATGCTTTGTTGTATTTAAAATTATTGGCACAAGCCTTCACAACTTTATAGTGTCGATTTGGAGATGTTTATCTGTTAAAGTTAGATTTTGCCTACGGTTATAGTGTGCTGTCACTCCTATTTTTTCCATTTTCTACTTTTACTGTTTTTCTTGACTGGATTCATGCATGTAGTGACTGGAATCACACATTGCATTAATCAGCTCTTGTGCCTGAGTGAAATGTTTCGGGGTTTTTTCCTGCAGCATATGGTGAAGATGAGCTATGATGTGGTGAAGCGATGGGTAAATGAGGCTCAGGAGGCTGCATCTAGTGACAACATCATGGTTCAGGTAATCTGCAGTTTAGACTGCTTTAATTTCGACTCTTGTAATGTAATTTATAAGATAAGACTAAATTGTGCATTATACTACTGACTCCAAAAATAAGCTATAGGAATGAAAAGATGCAAGTGTAAGGATGGTATGAGGTCTTTTAAAACCTGAACTTCGGGGACTATACAGACATTTCCATGTTGTATCTTTTCAGTAAATAGTAGTTTGAATTTCAGAGCCCTTTTTCTCAAAGATCAGATGGGACTGATGCAGGTTGAAAAAGACAGCTTAGCAACAAGTTCATATTTTGGGGGCTATTGTATTATTCGCCTATTGCAATTGCAGGTTTGTCTGCTTCTAAGACACTGTTAAGAGTTTAAATCAGGAATGTGCAAGGTATCAATCAGTAATTCATTGTCAGATGATTTCTGAGCAACTTGCTGAAGGTGAAGTTAAAATCGGTTTTGTCTGAGCAGAGTAGTGCTTCCTGTTTTCGCTGATCTTGGTTAAGATTTTTCTTTAATTATTGATTTGGATTATTTTATGGGGGAAGAAGGCTGTAATGCAATTCACAATTATCTCAGTCAGCTTGGAGAACCCACAGGCACATTTTACCCCTGTTCATACTAATCATCAACATGTCCATGTTTGCTTAAACATATGTCCCACACTGTTCTAAAATAGTTGTTTCTTTTTGATATGGAGCATTGAGACATCTTTAAAATCAATAAAAGTATGCCATGAATGTGCTTTCATTTGTGACCGGTTCCTGACAGCCGTGTATTGTGCTGATAATGTCTGTCAGTCGAAAACGGGGATTAATCAATTATTTTCTTCAATGTAGTACCATGCATTAGGTCTTTTGTACCACCTGAGAAAAAACGACCGTCTTGCTGTATCCAAAATGCTGAACAAATTCACCAAGTCTGGGCTGAAGTCCCCATTTGCTTACTGCATGCTGATCCGTATAGCCAGCCGGCTCCTGGAGGAGGCAGACGGAGGGTGAGTGTTCTTGTGTGTTCAGTTGCTCCTTCTGTGTTGCTTTTATTTATGTCCAATTTGTTGATTGTTTTTTCAGGAAAACAAACAATACTACATGGTTCCTTGTAAAAATAAAGGAATGAACTAATGTAAACCATCATCATGGCATGACAGACTTGGTAGCTAAACAAACTGTATAAATCTAACAGTAATATAAAATGGAAAGAAAGGGGTAGAAAAAAAGGAAAACTGGTGTGAAAGAGAGAACTGAAGGGAAAAGAGAAAGTTAGTGGAAGGACAGAAGAGGGTAGCCACAGTCTTCAAGGTCTTTCATATGCCTGGGTCAATCTAAAGTTCTTAAGTTTAAAAAGGGCTGGCAGCATTTCAGTTTATCTTTACCTGGGTCAATGTGTCCAGTTCAATTTTATTTTTATATAGCACCCCTTATAACTAGTCATCATGGAATGTTTTCAGAGTTATTTACACAGACTATACAAATAAACTGCCAAATAATGGTTTTTATTTTATCGCCTTGTCCTTTGGGGGATGCTCTGAAGTCTGTCAACAACATTTTTAAAAAGGTTATGTTCTTTTCATTCCAACCTCGTGTGAATATTTTCTAAAGCATCTTCCTCTATTGTTGTAAAAGCCCTCTTCTTCTCACCCCAACCTAAAGTACCGTGCTGTATTTCCTCTTTCAAAGGCACGACAATCCTTTGTTCGACTTCATCGAGAGCTGCCTGAGGAACAAGCACGAAATGGTGGTTTATGAAGCAGCTTCAGCCATTGTGCACCTGCCCAACTGCACTGCCAGAGAGCTTGCTCCGGCCGTCTCAGGTGAGCTCTGAGATGATCGTATGTAATTAGCCAGCATGCTGGGCCCCACTGCTTCCCCTTAAAATATCAGATCCCTCCATAAAACATCTGCTTGAACTTGTGGTAAGGGCTAGATTGATCTAATTAATCCTTAATTAGATCAATTTAATGCTTACCTGAGGTGAGGAGCTGTTTTATAGCCTTAGTAGAGACAGAAATCCTGCTGGAACCCCTTTTTCTTATAAGATGAATGCTTAGTCTTCATTATTTCTTGGATGTTTTATTACAATATTTGTCATCATAGAAATACGTTGCTGGTAGACAGATTGTTTGCATTTTGAATCTTTCTGTACTGTTTGCCGCAGTTTTATTCATGAGATTCAGTCAAGCCACTGATTAAGTGAGTTTGTAGTTTGCAAATCAGTGTTGTAAATTCACTGGGATATGAAAAGCAAAAATCAATCCACTTTTCTAAAATCTTGATAGAGAGATTGGGGGCTAGCCTGAAGAGTTGTAGATTTTTGAACATGAGTTGTTGGTTTAAAACTCGTGTCACCTGTGCTGAATTTGCCATAGAAAAATAAATCCTTGCCTTCTCAGATTTTCAGAAATTATTTTTCTCAACAGGCTCTCTTTTAATGCTTTTAAATTTATTTTTTTAAAACAGTGCTTCAGCTGTTCTGCAGTTCTCCCAAAGCTGCTCTGCGCTATGCAGCTGTCAGAACCCTTAATAAGGTATGAGAACAGACAACTTTGTAGAATAGCATGATTGAAGTTTTATCATAAATATTGACTTTGACAGTTCTACAGCTTGTATATGTGAAGGTTCTTGAAAGATTTCTCGATTGTTCAAAAAACATTATGCAATATAGATATTTAAATCAATCTTAAATGATCCTGAAACTTAACATTGAAAATTTATTTGATTGAAAGCTTGTATTATTTTCACAACTCTTACAAGCGTTTATAGAGTGTTGGGGAAACCTTCAAAAGTCCTTACATCATTTGTTTAAAGAATTTCTTTTAGTTAAGAAGTTGGGGGGAAATGCTTGAAAGAGATAATGTAGTAACTACAAACATACTACATAGGTCAGTGTAAAATTTAAATTTAAAAATTTGTTCCCAACTTCTTGTTTAAGGGATTGCTTTTTTAAAATTAACAAGTAGCTTGGAATTGTAACTGATTACTTTAAAAAATGATTTTCCCCAGCACTGCTACTGTGAAAGCTTTAATGTCCAATATCCATCAAGTGCATCAAGTCATATCACATTACCAGTAAACCTGTTTTGCACAACCTAAATGCAAGATGAAATTTCCAAAACATACCACACTTTGACATTTGCATTTACAATTGATATCTTCATTATTATTATTATTATTATTATTACAATAATGTAATAATACAATTATATTATTAAAATGTCAGTGTATTCTACAGTACATTCTTCTACTATACAACTGTAGTTCAAGAAAAGCGATGACAGGTTTTTAGCATCACTAGAACGCTTTCTGACCTGACGAAAAGGATAACACTCCGAACATACAGCAGAAATTATTCCAGAAAATGCACACATGGCCAATGATGTAACTATTTTAAAATTAGAACTAGGCAAAGATGATACACTAGATCTGCGTTGTGGCTACAGAAAGACAGCAGCAACAGAAGATGCAACCTGGATATAACCAGAAATATTCACAGATAATAAAGGACAGTTTATGAAGAGAATACCGGTTAGTAGAACATGCTGGTCAGCAAAAGGTTAGGTGGTAAAGCTTTAACTGTATTGCGCACGCTATTTTATAAGTGACTGTCATAGAAGGTACCAAGAGGTATTAAGAAGGACCCAGGACATTTCTTAGCAGACATCTGGGATGAAGATATCATTTAAAAGTGACCCATGGATATGTTTTTTTTTTCTTTAGGTTGCAATGAAACATCCTTCAGCAGTCACTGCCTGTAACTTAGACTTGGAGAATCTGATCACTGACTCGAACCGCAGCATTGCAACCCTGGCCATTACCACGCTGCTAAAGACGGGGAGTGAGAGCAGTGTGGATAGGCTCATGAAGCAGATCTCCTCCTTTGTGTCAGAAATATCCGATGAGTTTAAGGTGATTTCATTTAATTTTGTTTCACAGTTTTATTTCAGAGGGAAACTTGACAAGGCATTAAATAACGCTGTCGATGTTTGTTTTTTTTTTGTTTTTTTAGGTTGTAGTGGTGCAAGCTATTAGCGCGCTCTGTCAGAAATATCCACGGAAGCACAGTGTGATGATGAACTTTCTGTCCAACATGCTGAGAGATGATGTAAGTCACACTTAATTCAGGTTTCTTTTTAATCTAGCCCTATATTAGCAGATACTTCCATATTTTCTGTAATCCGGTTACAGTAAGTCTTTTTTTAAGAAACATTTGTGCTGCGTATGTTTTTTACAGGGTGGATTTGATTACAAGCGTGCCATTGTGGACTGTATCATCAGCATCATTGAGGAGAATCCAGAGAGTAAAGAAACTGGTCTGGCTCACCTGTGCGAGTTCATAGAGGACTGTGAGCATACTGTCCTGGCGACCAAGATTCTCCATCTGCTGGGCAAAGAGGGACCCAGGACCCCTACCCCCTCCAAATACATCCGGTTCATCTTTAACAGAGTTGTTCTTGAAAGCGAAGCTGTACGCGCAGGTAAGCAGTGTTCTGGAAAACGTCTGCTGTCAAATAAAGAATAAATAGGGGTTAAATTATGAATCTTCACGACAAACATTAATAGTTTTGAGTTTCAATTCATTTCTTAATCTTCTTCTTAATTTCAGTTCATTCATTCATTTCTTAATACCTAATTGTGCGTGTTCTGTAAAGTTGTGTATTGAGTTTTAATCTGCAGTCTTCCTTTTCCTGTTATAGCTGCCGTGAGCGCTTTGGCCAAGTTTGGTGCTCAGAATGATGACCTGCTCCCCAGTGTCCTTGTGTTATTACAAAGGTGAGGATACAGCTCACTAGTATAGGATCGTATGTTCCTATCACAGCCGAAACGTTGTGTTTTCTCTGTTCTGTTTTCCGCATAGAATAAACCTAGTACTTGTTCCTTTAGGAACATGTGTGTCTGCCTCATCATCCAGAGTTTTGTATTTGTATTTAAATGGAATATTTGCTGTTGCAGATGTATGATGGACAGTGATGACGAGGTTAGGGACAGAGCTACCTTCTACATGAATGTGCTTCAGCAGAAGCAGAAAGCTCTGAATGCTGCGTACATATTCAATGGTAAGGTATTTTTTGTTTACATCCAAAACATTTGTTGTAATTATTACGGTGTTGTAATAGGATGCTTAGCGTATGGATGTTACTCAAAAATTGATATTCTTTCATTTTCAAAAAGTGTTTAAAGCCATTTACATGCTCTTGAATAATGCAGTTCTCCTTGGCCACAGATTCTATCTGTATGTGTTTATGTGCAGTGGAGTGGGCTTTTTGTACTCTTGCGTTATCATCTACAAATTCATCCAGGCTGCAGTGCATCAGCACAGTGTTCATTGCCATGAATGTTTTTTCATGTCTGTCATACTGTATATAGTGTTTGGTCGGTACAGTGTCAGTCTATTAAAATGAAGCTCAAGTAGAAGACCATTCTGAAGCTTCTTGACCTTTTATATGTACTTTTTTCCCCACATGCATAAAGCCACATAATTTAAGTTGAATTGTCATGCAAATTGTTGAAACCTGGGATTCTCTCATTTGATGTTCCTGCTGAAATCAAGTAATAAAACAATCCAAGGTATTGTTTTAAGCTCAGTGTTTTTTTCTTTCCCATAAACACACTGCTTTGGAGTTTTATCATGAGAATATTCTAGCGTTTAATTGAATGGATGGCTTAAAGACACATAGTCTTCACTAATTAAAAGGATGAGCAGCTCTCTGTAGTACATGTACGTCTGAAATCTGTTTCTAGGCTTGTCTGTATCTATCCCTGGGCTGGAGAAATCCCTTCATCAGTACACCCTTGAGCCCACGGAGAAACCGTTTGACATGAAAACTGTTCCACTGGCTACAGCGCCAATCACTGAACAGAAAACAGGTAAATGAAACATTCCTCTTGTTGAAGAAACAAACACATCATGTCATACTAATAATATTTGTCAGTAGTTATGAGTGTGGTACTATTAGATTTCATTGTATCCTTAATTGTATTTTGCTTTTAATTTTCGTCTATTATGTTATTGCATCTTTTTAATATGAATAATTTCATTTAGGCCTTGGTGTTCATGTTTAGGCCTTGGTTTTCATACATTTGTTTTTTTAATTATTTCTTTAGAAATCGCTCCTGTGGTTACCAGTAAATTGCCAGAAAAGGTGGCTCCTTCCCGTCAAGATATATACCAAGGTATGAGCATTGCTAGATTTCTAAAATTCAAAGGCTCAAAATGTTTTGTGGCATTTTAGTTGATGAAACCATCGTGTTTTACGTGTTTGTCGTTTCCCAGAACAACTGGCCGCTATTCCCGAGTTTAAAGGCCTCGGTCCTCTGTTCAAGTCCTCTGAGCCGGTTCAGCTGACGGAGGCCGAGACGGAATACGTGGTTCGCTGCATCAAGCACACCTTCACAAATCACATGGTGTTCCAGGTGGGTCTGCCGGTGCCTTCAGAGACACCGCTCCCAAACTGAATGGAGATGCATTGTTCTCCAAGTAGCATGTAATTTTTTTTTTTCTTTGCTTGTGAATGAATTGTTTAAAAATTAACTATATTGGTAACCACAAAGGAACATGCATTGCAGCCTCAACATAACCTGCTTTGTCATGCTGCTAAGTAATGTACAGTGCTACCGATGGTTTTTCATCCAGTCATTTCCAGATCTGTTGAACAGCAATATGCACATCGGCCACAGATAGATATATGAAAAAATGTGCTCGCAGTCAGTTGAACTGTTACTGCTGTAGTCAGAGCTCATAAACAGTATATCCTTCTCTCTGTTTTTTAACCACTTCATCCAATTCGGGGTTGTTGGGAAGCCGGAGCCTATACCAGCAAGCAACTGGTGCAGGGCGTTGTACACCGTGCATGAGACAGCTGTCCATCATAAGGCATGCACACTTTCACACCAGGGCTTATTTTCCCGGAAGCCAATTAACCTCCCAGTACAGTACGTCTTTAGAGTGTGGGAGAAAGCTGAAGCACGTGGAGGAAACCGTGCAAACATGTGGAGAACGTACAAACTCCACACAGATAGCACCCCAGGTCTAGCATAGAACACAGGGCAGCAATGGTAACCACTGCACCACCTGTAAACAACACATTATTATGTTGAATAATTCCAATTTGTTGTCATGTTTTAAATTTGAAATATATTTTAGTATTTTACAGTATAGCATGAACTGATTTTTGAATATTATTTGAAGTACCAGTTAATCATAGTACCGTCTTGTACACAGGCTGGACTGCTTGACGTTCCCAGTGAAAGATGCCATCTTACTTTACTGTGCTGCTTTGCAGAAGCAGATCTGTTTTAACGCATTTAGCATGGTAACAACGTCTCACTGCCTGAGAATTATACCTTCCTTTAGCTCTAACCACCCTATTACTCAAGTTTGTCAGGGAAGTAAAAAAGGTATTCAAATTTATCAAAAGTATTTGAATACAAATTTTGTCTGTAGTGCCTTTAATTTTCATATTTCAGAATCCTAATTTTTCATGTGCTGTTTTTTTCCTTAAAGTTTGATTGCACAAACACTCTGAATGACCAGCTCCTGCAGAAGGTTGTGGTTCAGATGGAGCCTTCAGAAGCTTATGAAGTAGTGCATTACGTGCCAGCACCTAATCTTCCTTACAGCCAGCCTGGGTCGTGCTACACTCTCGTCAGACTTCCAGATGATGATCCTACTGCAGGTACGAGCTTAATATTCTTATCAAGGATATGGGTACATTTTTCTTACTTTTTCTTACTTACTTTCTGCTACTGTATGCACTACTTCTATACACTACTACAGCAGTAAAGTGCATTTTAATACAAGAAATTAACCTGTCGGTGATATATAAGCCTTCTTTTTTGGTAATATTTTAATTGTGCTTTAAGCTTTTACATGCTGTAAATTTTAAGTCTTCTGAACTTCACACTTTCTCATTCAAATGAGAAAACATTCTTCCTCTAATCTTTTTCTTGTGTCCTCTTCCATCTTTTAGTCTCTTGCACATTCAGCTGCACAATGAAGTATTTGGTACGAGACTGTGATCCAAACACCGGGGAACCAGATGATGACGGTTATGACGATGAATATGTGGTAAGTGATATTTCTCATTTCTCAAGTCCGTGCTGGGTTAGTTTTGTTCAGATAAATATTTCTCCTTTTTGTGTCGGCTGCTATCTGCTGTTTTTCCAGCATAATACTTATGCAGCATATATGTGCTACACAATAATAGTATAAATTATTGCGCATAAAGCATCTGAATTTTAATTCATTTTTTGTAGTATACTTCGTGTTGGGGAATATATGAAAACAGAGAGCTCTTGAGTGAAAGATCTGTTGTTTGTCCTTTTGAAACCAGATACAAAATACAGATTTATTGAATTGAACTGAAGTGATTATGTTTTTTGTTGCTGGTAGCTGGAAGACTTGGAAGTGACTGTCGCTGACCACATTCAAAAAGTCCTCAAACCAAACTTTGGAGCCGCCTGGGAAGAAGTAGGAGATGATTTTGAAAAAGAAGAAACATTTGCTCTTGCCTCTGTCAGAACCCTTGAAGGTAACCCTTAACACACTTGACTTTTCTACTTTATTTAGAAACGGAGATTTTAACATGTGACAGCCTGTGTGCATTGTATTCCCAGGAACTATAAAACATATGATTAATCTGAAAAAAGCTGAAGGATGTCCGTCTCTTAATATACAGTGCATCTGCTGAAATGTGATGACTTGTAAAAGGTGTGACTTATTCAACCTGAATAAATACTCACTGGAGTTCAGACAAATCCAAATTTGTCGTTGTTGACTTTTCTGTCTTGCATTTCAGAGGCTGTCAATAACATCATTAGCTTCCTGGGGATGCAGCCATGTGAGAGGTCAGACAAGGTTCCTGAGAACAAAAACTCACATGTTCTGTTCCTGGCAGGTAAGAGATATGATTTTAGGGTCTTAAGCTGTGGCTTCATTGAAAATCTTTTGAATGCAGTGTTCTGTTTGTAAGATTTCCAGGGGAACTATTACCATAAATAAAACTTCTGACTACCTCAAAGGTTCTACAACTATCTTGCTTTCTGTAGCCTGAACAGTTGAGTACAGAATTGATTTAAAACATTTTGCACATTTCAGTATGCTTTTGTATTAACTGTCATTTTTTACATATTGTTGCAGTGACTGAATGCAACTTAGAGCTCAGTATTATTGACAGGACTTTCTACAACGTCTCTGTCTTGCCTTGCAGGCGTTTTCAGAGGCGGTCACGACTTGCTGGTGCGTTCAAGGCTTGCCCTGGCAGATGGTGTAACTATGCAGGTTACAGTACGTAGCAAAGAAGAGACACCGGTTGATGTTATTCTAGCTTCTGTGGGTTAAGTCCCTTTGGCACAGGGTAGTATGCACGTTTCAGATAAAAAGAAATACCAAGACATTAAGGAAAAGCAAGCCCTTATGCTAAAATGAACAATCATGGTTTCTTTCATGTTTTCCTTTGTCTGAATTGTTTTTTAGAGACTACAATGCAAGTTTCAACTAGAATGTTAACCTGCACAGCATATTAAATAACTCTTTTGGGCCAAATTGATATGAAGTCTTTTGCTTTAAAATTGATAGAACATTAGGAAAATGTTTAAAATATGCCGAGGCCTTTTTGGATTAACACAAACACCATTATCTATCATCAGCACAAACTATCATCTGTACAAGTACAAGCAGTCCAAATAATAAATCTACTCAATCTGACATCCCAGCCACCTTCCTAAAAACAATATTTACAGATTTAAATGGGTCTTTTATTAAGGACCAGATGTTTATCATTAGTGTAATCTTTATCTGTAATAGAACATTTACACAAATGTGTTTGCATTCAAGAATCATCTTGAGAGCTTCTCCTGTCTATATATGAAAACTGTAATTGTTGAATGCTGTGGCGATCTTTAATTTCCTTGCTAAAATATTTGTCCTTACTCTGCTTTTCTTAATAAATTGTAATATGGGACCACTTAAGTCTTTGTTGCAGTAATGTCTCATGATAGTGGATGGGTAACACCATAAAGTTATGTGTGGATTATTCATCTTTTTTTTAATGTCTTAAAATATGTAAATACATGTAACATTTTGTCTAATGGCCTGAAATCAAGATGCATTAAATCAGATTTTACCTTTATACATTTATACATTGTATTACACAACCTCCAAGCGGGGAAAAATGCTTTTGTAATTACAAATGAAAACCTAGAAAAAAGGGTTGGATAAGTCTACACACCCCTGAATTAGTACTGGGTGGATGCAGCTTTTGCTTGAATTATAGCCACAATGCCGTTTGGCTAGGTCTGTTTCAACATAGCACACCTAGATCTGTCAATGTTTGCCCATTCCTCCTTACAGAACTGTTCAAGCTAAGTCAAAGTGCAAGGCGGCCGCTGGTGAACTACTGTACAACCTTCCAAGTAATTCCACAGGTTTTCAATTGGTTTGATGTCAGGGCTCTGAGCACTCGAGAAAGTTTACCTTTTTGTTGTTCATCAACTCCACTGTGGCTTTGGGTGTGTTTCAGCTCATTGTGGAAGGTGAAAGTCCGTCCCAGGTTCAGTTTTCTTGCGGAAGGCACCAGGTTTTCCTCAAGGGCTTTCTATACTTTGCTCGATCTATTTTTCCCTTCTATCCTGACTAGTGTTTCAGTCTCTGATGAGATTTTTGCCATTTGCCTCTTTGATTAGTCTACTTCTTGATTGGTCATCCAGGTTGAATGGGCATCCTGATTTAGGCAGGACTGTAGTTGTGTACTACACCTTCCACTACTTAATAATCGCCTTGACCATGGTCCAAGGAATACTTGACGCTTTTAAAATATTTCCATATCCATCTCCTGCTCTATGACTTTCCACAACTTTATCCCAGAAGACTTGTTGCCAGTAGTTGACTATCCAGCAGAGGAAACCTGTAGGTACAGCTGAATTTATTCTGAAATAATTCGAATCACTACAGTGAACACAGGAGGGGGCTAATTAGCTTGTGTGATTTGGAAAGCATTTGGTTACATTAGTGCCAATTTAAAATTGCTGTTACTAAGGGTTGTGTGTGCTTATCCAACCCATTTTTCTTGTTTTTCATTTGCAGCATTTTCAGAATGTTTAAGCATCTTTTTTTTTACTTGGAGGTTGTGTTACAATGTATAAAGGTAAAATAAATCATGATTTAATGTCTTGATTTTCATGCTCTTAGGCCACAAAATGTGTTCATTTTGAAAGGCTTGTAGACTTTCTATGGACACTGTAATTTAAAAAAATGCTCTTCTAAAAGTAATCAGTTTTGGTCTAAATGATATTCAAACATTGAACACGTGAAAAGGCGCCCATGTTGGCACATGGTTACACATGGCACAAATCTAACTTACTTGACTTTTATATGAAATGCTTTAACCAATTTCTTGCAGCACAGTCCTTTTCTCCACACTCATTTCCCACTTGTATACATAATATAAGAGTAAACCTATTCATATATGCAGTTAACCAGTTGAGACAAATCACAGTACAATTTTTTAAAATAATTTTATTTGCAGAAAATAATGCTTCTTTTAGCATTTGTTCAGTTGCTCTGTTTGTCAATAATACAGTACAGTTCAGATTAAACTGAAATTATTTGGCTTGAAGTAGTGTACACAAATACTGGAACCTTACATTTTCACCAAGTTTGACATTGACAACATTCAGCAATTGAGACTATCTGTCTCTGGTGTTTAATCAAATCGAGTGGCTAGAACCGTATATTTGTTTATTTCTGTTGAAACTATTATCTAGATACAAGTTTATCCCTGATTATATTGTATTTTATAGTTTGTTTATATTCAGATACATTGAGTAGGGTTTGTTTTACAGATGACATTAAGCAAACCAAAACAAACAAATGAATGACACACTCCTGTTTATGATCATTAATATTTAGATTGGTACCATTGTTATGTATGGACAACAAGTTAAGCAATTTTAAATCCACAAAGATTGCAGTCCCAAAACCTTAAGACCGCTTTTTGGCAGTTGTCAAAAATGCAGGAAAAAAGTAACTGGAATCTGAGTAAGCCTGCTGCACACAACATTACAGGACACAAATGTGTCAGCCAAATAAAAAGGCTATATTATAGACTATAAAAAATCTAGACAACATTACATTTTTAAAGTTCTAGGATACATGTATTGACACTCAAGGCTTTTGGAAGGTTCTCATTTTTGTTCAATCACACTGAAAACGTGCCATGGTTTACTGAAGACGTAGATATCTCTCAATGGTAGTCCAATGGTGGAACGGCAATACAATCTCACTTGGCCACAAATTAAAATGGACTAGAAAAACGTGAAGAATAACAGATGTATTAACTGGACATTAACTACTGTTGTACACTGACAAAAAATGCCATGTCATCAATGTTGTTATATTCTATGCCTCAAAGTGATCTATTAATTTTTTTTCAATCTTTCATTGATGAAATGCAGAGTGCGCCCACCAATTTCTTAATTTAATCTGTTTGATGATTTTACTTGCTTAGGTCCATGTTTCTTTGGTCCAATACTAAACGCTTCTTCTTGCTGTGAGTTTATTGTAGTTGATTGCTATTTTGGTTTCTTCCACCTTCTGAAAGCACTCTATCATTTCTTAACTATTCATTTCACAAGACTGTAAAATATAAAATATTGTAAAATTGTAAAATATACTTCATAGGCAGCTTCTCCAAAGCAAATTCAATTACTTCAGTCTGGACAATGTACTTGGAGAATATTACATTCAATATCGCTTTTTGATACAGTGTACTGGTTAAACACAGCAGTGTAATATGCTTAATGGTTTAGTTCTTCAAAGGCTTTAGAACAAAGGTTAATAATTGAAATTATACAGTGCTATTCATTCCAACATATCCAAAAGCCCTTGACATATAGATTGGATCCACTTACTCCAGCACTGAAGTTTACTGTATCCACTTGGGTGCCATAAAGCAGCCATCAGTCACCAGCAATTCCTGCCACACATCAGAGCAGGTAAAGGAGAGATAAATTACTTAACAAACCAAATGAAGGGGTTTTAGTTTACATTCATTTTTTTGTGAACAATGTCATGGGATTTTTAATGACAAAGCAGTTATTAAAACTGGTTCACTAACCAGAAAAAAACATCAGCAACCACGTTCTCGTTATACAGTAGCTTCTAAGATTTGATAAGATCAACCAGAAAAATGGTAAAGCTGCTGTTGCAGAGCCAAAAGACACCTCAGAGTTCATGAACTCAGACATACTGGCATATTGTGTGTGTGCCTTTCAAAAAACGTTTTGTTACTTCAGGACAGTCCATTACATCAGAGTCCTCTAATTAAGCGTGTGAAATTCTGCATGCTGAGGCTATTGGAAATGGATCCAGGAAGTAGTTGTTTCTTTTGCCACTCAGGACTGACTGAAAAAACAAGTTGAACATCTGAACACGGAAGTAGATCAATTTAATAGGTTATTAAATACACCTGGTGATTAGTGCTCAGCTGGAATGACACTGTTTCTCCAGGACAAGGCCAGAGAAACACTTCTCTAACGGCTATCAGACATCTTCAGCCAAGTCAAACATTGAACTGAAGAGCTGTTTACAATCTGTCTGATGGTACATTAATTCCCTTAAATTTATTACACTACCCACCACAATACTGCAAATAACAGGATTTTCCAATTTTCCAGATCACTATTGAAACATTTCCTATAATTAATAGTCAATCATGATGACAGGGTTTGGGGTTTATAATAAATACTATTCTCTCAATACAGATTATTTATTTAATTTTGTCATATTAAATATTACATTTAATATTTCCTAATATGTGTTAAAAACAAAAACATAAGAATACTGGCTTTGTTAAAAATATTATTTCCCTGATCTTAGCAAATGTAAGCTGGATACACTGTGTAGAGAGAAGAGGACTGGTTTATTCCAGGAAGCTAAACTGATTGTAAACACAGCGGCAGCAGCATCATCCTTCATCAGAAGGAGTTGATGAAGTTCAGATATGCATTCAGGAAGCCAGTAGGGTCTTCCAGTTGTGGATAGTGGCTGATATGGTCATCAAGAATCGACACTGTGGACCGCTTAACCAGATGCCTTGAAAATGGAAAGGGGCAAATCATTTCAAATTTCTATTTGATAAAATCATACTATAATCAGAAAAAAATATTACAATTTCCCACTTACTTGTATAAGTTGATAAATTGTGGATGAGGGTTCACTGGGTCTAGTGGACCGTAAATCATATGCACTAAAAAATATCACAGCATGTTAAAAGTCAGGGTTTACAAGTAAATGTAGCTAATCATGAGTCTGGAATGAATTGTGAAAATGAATACCTATTGTTTAATTAATATATCAATTAATGGATTGTTAAAATATTGTGCGTCTAGGATTGTTTCCCACCCTCATATTTCACTTACATAAGAAATTAAGGTTTTGCAGTAACGTCATAGATAGCACTGAACTGCAAAGTCAGTGTTTTTACCATAAAAATACCCCTCAGTTATGTAGTAGCAGGTATGTAATGTAATACAAAACTGAAATGTTAAAAGTTGAATAGTAGTACATGAAAACTTTTATATTATATATAAGGTTTACAAAATTCATAATTTATGCATTTGTTTCCCTTTTATTTTTGGAATGCACCCATAACACTTCCATTCAATGGATGAAAATGAGATATTTAAAATACCTCTGGACTCAAGACAGAGAGGAAATGTTCCGATCTTTATTCTTAAGGCATATTGATCCCTAGATTTTGAAAAAAAGTGTCTTGCTAGTTTTGGCTTTTGAAACATTTACTTATTGGTAACACTGTACAGTAACATTAAGCAGTTAGAAGTTTTTGATATTAGTCTTGCAGTGCTAATGCGTAAGCAAGCAGACTCTTGTTTTAAGATTCCTATAACATTAGCACATGTTACAGTTACTGCCAAGCTAACACAAGTCAGAGATTCCGTTAATGGTCAAGAACTGTGTAGGCTCAATGCTCAGATGCTTTAATGATTCAGATTTCTTTGAAGCATAAAACATTTTAAACAGGGCTACAGAACGACAAGAAACATTACCTTCATTATTAGTGCTCGTTTCTAAAATCACTTACAACATGCTTGTGCTCAACTGGCAAAAGTACATACTGCTTTTTTTTTCTCCAACCAAAAGGATTATTCCTGCAGATGGAATAAGCTACTTTAGGAATAAACATACTTAAAAGATTAGCAGAAGTTACACTGCCATATATGTCCTTCAGTCATTCATTAGGAAGATTTATAGGAAAAATACAGATTTCTTATCTTGTTGTTTTGCTCTTGATAAAAGTCACAATTTATTTTATTTTAATTTAATGTACACACATTTTATTTACATTTCTTAGAATATGCAGAATTAAATATTCCCTAATAATCAAAAACACATGACCAATGAGATTTACATTAAACTCCAGACGTATTAATCTCCTGAAATACCTTAGATACGTATAGATATCACAAACAACTAGTAAAAGGAAAAATAGTTTTGTGTTTATGGTGTACAGGAAAAAAATAACATTTCAATGGTCTTTCATTTATTTATTTTTTTCAGCTTTAACAGTTTGCACTTGGACTTGACCATTTATTGATATTTTGTGAAATCTGTAGATTGTTACGGGAGCCATATTACAAAACTGTAATACAGTTCTCATTAATCTTTTCTATTACTCTTGTGCGGTAGAAAACAAATGGAAATTTACACAGTCCACATACCTGCAGACACAATGCATAGAGCCACATGATACAATTACTAGAATGGTTAACAATTAGTATTTTATTGTTTAGCGTTCATGTTGGTCTCAATTGTGTATGGTCATAAATCTATACCATACAGTCAGAAATATCCAGTATGAGCTGTACAGGAATGTGACCTTTAAGCAAGCTCATATAAAAAAGGTGCTGTGGAAAAGGGCTTGTGAAATAGTGTTCTACTGCTGCTCATACTTACAAGGAATGGTGGTGGTAGTCAGAGCTCCAACCCAGCGATCTCTATGCTTCAATCTCTGATTAATGTACTGCAAAATACTGAAAACGTTTTTTTTTGGCATTATTTATTCCGTTCTTTAAAAAACATCAGAGTGCATTACAATACGAAAAAGTCAATATGAAGTAATACAAAGCCCTCTTTATCTGATTTATTCCTACTCAAATTTATTCCAAATCCAATGTCTTAAATACGTTCACGGCCCATGTCTGTTTGCTTTTGTATGTTCGTATAATGTAATAGACATATCGTTGCTTCTCAACACGATGTTCACTGTCATATGACCAGCACAATGGGAAACTAAACATTATAGTAAAAGCTGTAGATTTAGTGGAATAGCTGCTTTCTGAATAACTGAATTCTGAATAATACTTCATATTGAATGGACAGAGTCTTACTCTTTAAGTACATACAGGTCTATTTATTTGCGGTCAAATTTATAACAAAGCCTCACTTAAAAAAGGTGATACTTTACCTGTCCATGACCAGGTTTCCATCATTATACCGGATCCCAGTCCACATGTCCCAGTATTCACTGTCTGTTGGCTGAGTGTATGGCCCAAACACAGCTCCTATTCTACATGATTTATATTAAAAAATAATAGTTGTAGTTAGAATTCCACTATTTTCACCAATTCTGGAATATGTATCTAACTTTTGTAAAAGCCTTTATTAGGACTTATTGCATATTAAATTGTGTTTAAAATGGAATAAGAAGACTGAAACCATGGAGAAATCTCTCAGCAGCAGTACAGTTACAGTTCAGGGTGGTTTTCTCCAGATCTCAATTCAAAAGCAATGTATTTAGCCACTGAAGAAGGGGAATGAAAAAAGTTCCCCTGTTTAGATCATTTTGTTGCCTAAAAACTAATCTGTATTATTAAGCATAAATACTCAAATCAACTATAAAATCACATTATGGTAATACTTTCCCTTAGAAAATGGGGGGGGAAATGGGACATTTCCCCTAGGCTTCTAGCTAAGCTTAGGTAAACGTGACACTTTTTTAACAATAATTACCAAAAAATTAAACTTATACAGTACATGGTACGTTTATACATCAGCACATTAAGATATTATGATAGCTTTTTTTACTGCACTCTTGAAAACAACATCCGGGTAAAATGGAAGGACAGTTGGATGCAAGTGTAAAAGCAAAGAACAGATGTCCATATGAAAAGAGCGCCTGACCGCTGTGCTGACAGGAAAGTGAACTGTGGAAGCAGCTTGCAAAATTCCTATTACCTGAAAAACATGAGTGGAACAGGTATTAATATCAAGGTTCTTATTATCTTTGTCTGCTCACACTTCCAGTGGGCCAGTTACAGAAGCAGCCATGCATGGCCAGGCCATGATTATACCTCTGAAACTGTCACACTCTTCTTCCACAGAGTGAACTCTGAAGTTTATAGTTTAATACACAGTGATTGGCACTTTACGATTTCAGAGTATGCACTTTGACAGCATTGCCTTCTGTCGTGGTAACACAACCATGTCAGTAAATTCCTTTTCTGAGTTAATAAAAAGACACTAGGAGACAGTAACAGTCTTTACCATTATGGTAAAACAGATGGTAGGTTTTATTAATAACACTCACGGTGTTCTAGTTTCTGCCCCCAATCTGCCTCATAAAAGCTAAGGTGTTTTAAAGAAAACTTCAGATCAAAACCAACTCAACTTGCCCTTTTGAGAAGAACATAAAGTTCATGAGTCGGGTCAGTATTGAAGAAAGGAATCCGCTATCCTTGAGCAGCTGCATAATAAAGCAGAAGAAAAGTTTGAGTATCGTAAAGAAGCATTTTTAAGTAGACTTAATCGTTAATTTGCACAAAAAGCATTTAAATATACCCAAAAAGAAAAACAGTAAACCCTTAAGATGTAAAGTTACACTGCCTTTAACAATAACAAAATAACTTTGTGTTATTTTACTTATCTTGTTCTCCAAAATCATATTATGAAGAGATGAGTTTTTGTGTTGTCTTCCTGTTGTATTATTCTGGACAATATAAGCAAGCATTTGAGTAATAGCACAACATACCTTCTGTAGAAATCTCGGATAGTGGGTTTCTGGAAAGATACCTGTAATTGTAAAAGCATGTATAGGTAACTAATTGTTCAATTAAGAAAACTCATTCAGACAGGAAACAAATTAATGTCAGAATCTTTAAGGCAAACAATGTGCATGGTATCACACTCACCTCCATTGGACAGACAGAGACTGTTGATCGTTAAATGCCCAGTTCTGTTATGTTCACTCCTAAAGAAAGTAAACATGAATCATGCCACTAAATAAAGTGGACCACTGGAAATATTACTGATGCATTCTATAGTAAAATGTTGCTTTTTTATCGCTTCCCCATGTATAAACAATGTAAATGTCAACATAAAAGTCTTTTTCATAAGTAACCTCTTCTAACTAGGTTTTTCCCATGTTGTACCCACATGCAAAACAATGCACTTGTCTCCATTAAATGTCATTCCCCAGGCTTGAATTTTATCTATATCTTTTTGAGTTTCATTGGCTGCCTCTACAGTGTTTGCTTACCCTGCAAACTTGACCAGTTTACTAACCATACTAGACTCTAATCAATTTTCCAGACTCTATAACAATGGTCTGCAGAAAGATCTGTTTTTACCTGTACAGTAGCTCCAGAGCCACAGTATCTCCATAATCATGAGAAAGGATGTTGATTTTCTGACCTCTCAGACCCAGATGAGCCACCAGTCCTTCCACAATGTTGGCCTGTTCAAATATGGAGTACCGATAAGGCCTCTGAAATGAAAGACTCAATTAATGATACTGTGATACCATGATACTGTCAATTAAAATATGTACATCTTTATTACCTTGGGGCAACCATGTTGTGAAAGGTGCTATATCAAAATAAATTGAATTGAAATGTAATTACACTAGCGTGGCTAAATTTTCTACTCCAATTTAAAAAAAACCCACAATTCGTTTTGTGTCTACTCCCAAGTAAAGCAAGAGTTTGGAAATAGTCTTAAAAATAATACACTGACATTTAACTGCTTACTGTACAACTGGCATTATACAGAATGTTGACACTGTCCACAGTCAACATACAGTGTTAAGAGAAGAAATAATATTAAATACCTGATAGAGCCCAGAAAGAGCACATATATAAACACCTATCTCTCTATATCTACAAGACACCATTTGATCTGTGTATATTATTCAATTCATACTTACAAATATCTGAAACAATTCTATTTTAGATTTCCATGTTAAACTTACAGTTACAGAAATACACAACACCCCAAACAATTATCATGCAAGGCATGATGTGTCTATATTAGCTGTTTCTATATAATAGCTTACTAAAATAACCATGCACTTACAGGTTTGTCACTGAAACCAAACCCTAGGAAGTCCAGTGCAATCACCCGGTTGAACCTCTGATTCAGCCCATCCCATATCTAGAAAATCATGGAACAACACATACCACACAAAACATTGGAAACACCAAGTATGGAGAAGCTGGGAAGAGAATATTGTTAATTTTTCTTTGGTGTAATCCCCAAATTCACTGATTCATTCCCTGAAAGGATACATTCCCCCTCTTCTATTGCTTGCTCTATTATAATCTAGTTCTGAAGGTAACCATCATTTAATCACTTATCAGTTGTATAGCTTTCATATTGTAACAAGAGCATATTGACCTGCCTCTACACCTAAGACAGCAGTGGTTGCAGTACATGCAGTTCTGTATACAATGAGGCAACGTCCTTGTCAAATTGTAATAGATTGAAGAGGGGAATTTTCTGTTCAAGGCAACAGAGATATCAGTATTGCAGGGATGATAATGAAATTCCTCAGTTTCTCTGTAAATCTGGGCAATAATAATAACAGAAAGAAAAACGACTACAACACGCAAGTATCCTAAGTTGATTTATCAGGCAACACAAACCCTCTTCAGCTGTCCTAAAGAGCACATAATGGGCTGCAAATACCCTTGCATGAGAAGCAGATTGTAGAAGAGAGTAAAAGAATATCAGTAAAGATTAAAGGATTACAGTGAAGAATAAAACATTATTTTCCAGCCCACGCTCTTGGGACATTGTGTTTCCATACATTTGAACCATATTTTGTGTCAGGTAGCAGTTTTTTAGATCTGTTTGGACTATATTCAACTGCATTTATACATACAGTAACATTTTTTTTTACAGCAAAATAATTCAACAGACAGTAATAGTAATATCAAACAGCCAAACATTTAACTTGTACTTATTATATGGTCTCATTTAATCATAAAATAAATGATTTCATAGAACAAGCTAACAGCTGCTGAACAACTTTCTAAAGACACTGGCAAACACATACTGAGACTGAAAACAATGAATAAAAATGCCTGCAACAAGCCCACCTTGTACCAGTCATAACTTGAAGTTGGAAACCCATGTAAAAGTATGAGCACATCAGAACTTCCAACAGCACCGCTGGAATCTTTCAAAGAAAATATATATGTTACTATAACTTGATTTACAAGGATATTAAAGGGGAACTGCAATCCCAATTTCTCAGACCATTTATTAAACCTTGGTAACATAATTAATTGATTCATGGTATAGAGAAATTTGACAAATTTGGGATAAAGCACACAATCGCGAACTTTGTGAAAGGACTGTAAGTCACCATGTTGTCGCAAACCCCTGGTCTCGCCACAAAACAAGCGAGAGTTCCCACGAATTGCGACATGGAGTGGCCCTTCCTGCTCACCAGTCATTGTAATGAGTAATGTCATGTGATCTACAAGCAAATAAGTACAGGCTGTGTAGAAGACATTTCAATGAGGAAATCTTCCAATGTGATCTGCACGCAGAGTTAACAAGTAAGTAGTACTGTATGTTTTAGCAAAAGCATCTCAAAATCAAAAGAAATACTTCTATTGAATTAAAAGAGATGTATTCATAAGCCTGCTTCTTTATAATGTAACAAGATTTCAAATCACCAGAAGTTACGTTGCCTAGTTCTGAATCACAGAATATGCTATTGCACATACCTGGAAATTTAGTCTATTTTGTGATGTAAATTGGAGGTTTTACTGTGTTCATTTAACTTTTATTAAATGAACTTTTATTATGAATGTGGTTCGAAAGGCAGTCATCAATGCTGATTCTTTCTAGACCCGAAATATAAAAACAGCGTTGCAGTTCCCCTTTAATAACTTTTATTACAGTCAACAAACCATCTTTTATAATGATTGTCCTTCCAGTATTGTGGGTGTGCACTGCGGAATGTATTTATTCCATGTTTTGGGGATTTTGCCTCGGTTTAAAAATAGTACCAGTGCTCCAAAAAGTAACATAAGATTTAAGTAAGATAATCAGGAGAACTAAAGAAAAAGAAGAGAATAAACAGCACTAGGACAGCCACAGTATGTTCAAATTTGTTGAAAAGCTGTCAGGTTGTCAGCAAGTCGCATCATTCAACTCTCCTGACTGCTTAGACTCCCCTTTTCAGTGATCAGAATCCAGCTCACCAAAGAACATCAATGGCTGCTACAGATGCTAAACATGGTGAGCTTTATACCTACAAGCCTGTATATTTTAAGAATCTTTCAACCTACCCCTGTAAAAAATTTTATTTTCCTTAAACGTGAAGAATGTTCCTGCTTCCCTCCAGGCATGCAGGGCTGGGGAGAGGTGAGGCAGGGGTATATGGAGATACACCGCAATGAGGGGCACAGTCAGCAGCCCAACCTGGATCCACCACTCCCTCATCCTAATGAAGGGACTTCTGGACAAAACAAGAAAAAAAATGTTGCATATTACTAAAGCGTTAGAAACTGCGCTCTGAAGAAAGTCTACTTTCTCGGCCAATAGCAGAGGTCAGAATATGATTCTAGTTTTCTGGGCTATAGAAGAGCCCATACCGTAGAAGCTGCAAAGAAAATTCAAAGTCAGTGAGATGGAATCTGTGACTGAGTAAACAGCTAGCAGATGTTATTCAAAATATACAACCCGATAGTGCTACATGCCGGTAACATATTATAAATGCTGCTTAAGACTTTATCTTCTACAAGGTGGGGAAGCAATAGAAAGGCAAACAGAATGCTTACATATACTGTAGAGCCCGGTAAAGGGGTGTTATAATTGTGCAATTCGCTAAGAAAACCCATTTATAATATAATGTACAACGTTGGTCACCACTTCAGGAAAAAAATATCTTCTTGTCTTAGAATCAGTCAAGAAAAAAGGGACCAGTTACACCCCTAATCTCAAAGTAATGTCTTACTCTGACAGGCTAAAATCACTCAATACGTTTAGTCTCCAACAGAGAAGACTGAGGGGACTTGATTCAAGTATTTGAAATCCTAAAAACATCAACAAAGTCAGCTCTACAGACGTCTTCAGTTTCAACAGAGAAACAACCAGGGGACACCACAGGGACACCACATTCAAAACTGAAAAGAGGAGGTAGTTTTATTTGTTACACATTGGTTTGTGGTGTGTCAAAGCTAATACCATGGCTTCTTTCAAGAAAGTAAAGACCAGATCATCCATCCATTTTCTGTTTATTCCAATTCAGAGTTGCGGGCAAGCAGCGGGCACAAGGCAGGATATACCCAAATGTCAGTATACCACAGAGCAGACACGCACGCATTCACAGCTTGGGCCAATTTTCCCCAGAAGCCAATTAACCTACCAGTATGTTTTTGGACTGTGGAAGAAAATGAGCGCCCAGGGAAAATCCACACGAACACAGGGAGAACAGATAGCCCCTCATGTCCAGAACAATGCTGACCACTGTGACACCATGCTGCCCTAAAGACGAGACCTTGGTTAATTTCTAGCAACAAAACGAGAATGGCCTCCTCTCACTTACAGTATCACCTTCTTAAAGTCCCGGCTGAAAGTTTTGTCAAGATACCTTAACATACCAGACTAAGCTTGCCCATGATATAAATTTGATCATGCAACTTATTTATCTACGAGCAAGATAAGTGAAAAAAAGAAACACACATTAAAATCTACGGTGTAAATGCACTGCCTGGTCAAGACAGATTAAATTCTTTTCAGCAAAGTTAGTCCATCAATAACTTACTACGTTCAACTAGATTCACTGGGAACGGCTATTTTTTCCAAATGTTTAAACTAAACACACATACACTGACATTACGTTTTGACTTTGACACCTTGCTAACGTTGCCTGCGTAAAACGGCTGAATATCAGGCTTAACTGTGTCGCATGGTGACTTCAATCTGTCACTGTGTACTCTAATGTACACGTTAGTAATCAGTTTCACTCTGTGGTGCACGACAAAAAAAAACTACAGAGAACTGCGTTCTTTCACTTTCATGCACAATTCAAAACAGCGTTTTGCTCCATTGATTATTCAACGCGGAGGGACTAGGAGCTAATTTTTTGACGGATATACCTACGTTGAGCAGGAGAACCATTCTCTGATGTTACCGCTGTTGCCCGTGTCAACTTGTGCGGGGACGATAGGAAGAGTGGGGCATGGGAAGAGCGCATTAAGGATTACACCTTGCCGTAATCAGGAAACAGCTCATCGCAGGAAAGTGCCCTCTGTGGGAAAGGAGAACTAACAGCAGATCACAACATCCACGCTGTTGAGCACCAGCTGATGCCAACACAAGAATCAGAACGCCATACATATCACTCTGGTTTCAGAGGATGTGGAAAATGAATAACCCATGTAAGGGTGGGCGTTCGAGACATATATGTGTTATGTGTGGTACTTTGACTTCTAAGATGTTTCACGCTGGGGAACTAGCTCCTGTCCAAACGCTAGTCCACACCTCCATCCCTTCAGGGAATTACAATCTGTAAATTTAGACCCGACCCGAATACTTCCAAAATATACTAATATGCGATATTCAGGTATTTCTTAACATATATGTATGAAGAGTAACATGCGCACATGCTGATGTGGAATGTGTGGTAATCAGAAAGAGGCGGCGGGATACAGCAGCGGTAGGAGAGAGTTCGCGTCTGGCGTTTCCTAGCAACTGCGCACGGTAGACGCGAATTGCCGACCTGGTAATGTCGGTGGCGATGATTGGTTTTCGTCAAAGTTTCAGCCAACCGAAGAGAGGCTTGTTGGAACGTCTAACGGTGAGATTTTAACATTTGAAAACATGTCTGCCCGGAGAGGCTTTGGCAATTCTGAGGTGAGCTGAATATGCTGTTTCTTTTTTTAAAAAGGGCATATTTCTTACGTATTTTCGACTGCCTTCAAGGGGTTGCTTTAGTTTTATGTAAACCCAAACTGAAATGAAAGTGTGTAGTGACTGAGTTGGTCCATTAGTTACACTGTCTGGGTTAGGCTGTCTTTGTGTTTATTGCCGGTGTCGTATCCAATGCAGTATTTACCTGGAAGTATTCACACTGCAGCAAAGCAATGCTGTTTTTGAAAATTTCACTAAAAATTGATATCCCATTTCTGTCTCTGGTTAACTGTAGTGTCCGAGTTCAAAATACGTATCCCAGGCTGACATTTAGTAATAGTACTTAGTGCAGTTGCTAGACCTCTGAAAGTACATACTACATGATTGAAACACAACGGCAACCTGCTGAACTACAGTAAGATTATATATCGGAACTATGTTCCTTAATCAAGGGATGCTGAAAATGAGCGTCAGGGGTTATAAATTACGAAATCCCTTAAGCTTTTTTGAGCCACTTTACCATCAACATTCTGATGAGTTACTATAACTAGACATGATATGTTAAATGTAACATGTTTCCCGTTAAGTAAGACCTAATTGTGTTATATAATCTGAGTTTACAATAAAAGCGTTGAATATTATCTAAAGGGAAACGTGGGGTTTGCTTCATTTTAAATAATTCTTGATTGCTTTGTCAGACCGAATTGTCTCATTGTTGGTTTTCCATATACATGTACATATCTAGTTTGGAGTGAGAGTGAATTGAAAAAAAAAATCTGGATATTACTTAGTGTCTTGTGTTTAATAACGTTGAAACAGTTTGCTGTATGTGAAGCGTTAAAGGCAGCAATGATTAATACTAGCACACAACTCTGAGAAATCATAGGGTAATCTGTGTATAGACCCGATGTTACCTTGGTGTCATTGTTTAAAAATAATTGGTCAACCCTTCTAGCTCGATTAATTGAGAAAAAAAAACTTTAATTTTCTTTAATGATATTGTCTTTGACAACAGAGGCTAACAAATACAAAGTGACAGCTTTAAACAAAACAGTAGGAACTTTATATGAAAGGAGTCTTATAATCGTTTTGTTTTTAGTATTCTTTTCAACTGACTTTCAAAACTGCAAATAATAATAGAACTTTGATGTAAAATATTCATTATGCTTTAATTTCTTACAGTACTTGCAAAAGAAAATACCACAGAATCCCAAATACCAGCATGTCAAGTCGAGACTGGATACAGGTAACATGGCATCAGAAAACTCTGTTGTTTTTATAAGTCACTGTAGGATATATCCTACTGGTCGTCTTTATACTTTGCTATGGCATACAGTTTAAAATGCTTATTTTCCTTGAAAGTATACTCCCAAACTAATGTATATTAAATTTTGAGCACAGCAATGTGATTTTGTGTCAACAGAATAATTCATTTAAGGGTCTAATTAAAATTGGACTGGTTTTAAAGCTGACTCTCTCCATTGTGAACACAGATTGTAGCAGTCCAGAGTTCTAAATAATTTAAAGTTAATCCAGGATACAATGTCAAACATTACAGACAAGAGGAGGTCATTTGACATGCATAGCCTTTTCAGTAGCTGGTGACAAATTGAATGAGATCCTTGGATCAGGTGTTTCTCGAAGAAAGCCAGGGCATGAGCTTAAAAAACACGGTTGATTAGCTTATTTCAGACTCTCAAAACGCTTTACTTAAAGAGGTCCCTTGTATTGTCAGTTTAAAAATGCGCTCTCTCATACTTTCGTCTTGTGTCCTCTGGTTTGTGTTTAACTGTTGATTTTGAAGACATTTATTAGATTGATTCTGTGCCTTTAAGGAATTTGAATACTTTTGTTTAAGGGTCCCTCATAGTCCTCTCTGTTCAAGACTAAGGTTACGTCATTTCAGCCTGTCAGTGTGAGATATTCTCTTAGCACCGGAATGTTTTTGGTTGCTCTTCCCTGGACTGGTTCCACAGCAACAATATACAGTATTTTCTATAACGTGGTGACCAAAATTGGGCATATTCTAAATAAGGCCATACTAGCACATTATATAATTTTAACATGAAATGCCTAGATTTGAATTCTACACTCTTGACTAAATATCCTAACATTCTGTTTGCCTTTTTATTGCTTCCCCAAATTATCTACATGTAAATCTACAGTAGGTGTAAATGTCAACACAAACACCTAAGTCTTTTTAATATGTGGCCTCTTCTAGATTTATGTTTTCCATTTTCTATAGTTTTTCTAACTGTTCATACAATTCATTGTTGCAGGGGACCTGAAGCCTGTCCCAGTAAGTAATGGGTGCAAAGCTGGGTACATACTGGATGGGGCGCCAGTCTATCTCAGGGCATATACTCACAGCAGGACCAGTTTTTCCAGAAGTCACTTCACCTACTAGTATGTCTTTGGACTATGGGAGGAAACAGGAGCACACAGCAAAACCCTCATGAACGCAGAGACAGCATACAAACTCCTCTCATATAGTACCCCAGATACAGAATTGAACCCAGGGCCCCAGCTCTGGAAAGTAGCAATGCTAACCACAATGCCACTGTGCAACCGTAGTCCTGCAATTGTCTTCATTAAACGGCATATTTGCAGGTGTATGCCCAGTCCTGTATTTTATTTGACCTTTTTAATTTAAATTGCTGCTTCTGTATTTACTAATATCTCTGTTAAGGTGAGATCAAACAAGACTGGTTTACTAGTTATATAGAATCTACATCATTGACATACTTTAAGAAGAGTAGTGGTTCTAGTACAGATTGCTGTGGTACTCTGTTAATTACAACATCCCAGTTTTTTGGCTGCAGGCAGACCAGCCTGCCAAATCCATTTTGGCCTCAGTAAGAGGCCTAGATTAGTCAATGTTCCTGTTAAGAACAATGGGCAGGCAGGTAAATATGTTCCCACAGTACTTCCAGATCAGTAGGAGGTAGGTACTATGTTCATCTGTAAGGGTTCAGATGTACCGTGTGATGCAACTTTATTTAGTGAGTATTTAGTGAGGCAAGTTAAGTGGCTCATTCAGTGAGTAGGATTTGTGGAGGCAGATGTTTTATTATGCCAAATATTGTCCCATTACATCTTTGTCAGAATTCAAGTCTGTATTCCAAACCGTAACCACTGCCAATGGTTTATATGAAGTCTGTAATAAGAAGACATCAGAATACGTTATTCCCTTTGTTTAATGAAACAAATCTGATGCCCTTCAAGTGTGGTTTATTTTGGCATCAAGCAGATTACACCCCGAGTGTACAGACAACCTCATCTCCTGGAGATATCATAGGCAAGAGTTGCAAAAGGGAGACCTCATTATAGAAAAGTCTAGAAACCTGTATTAATTCATTAAAAAGATCTGTAAGAATGTGAATTTCCTTGTCACTACAGTGTAAAACAGAGAAATGAGAATTGCATTTAAGGTGTTTAAAAGTGTTAAAGAATAGGACCGTGTGAATGTCTGTCATGTATTTTGATAATCTTTTGAGTCTTTCTGTTGAACACCAAGTCTTAATAATGGGGCTAAATGTAATCCAAAGGGGTGAAACGAAATTTCTTTTCAACTGGACACTGGAAAAAAGAGTACCAGTGTTCAGCTAAACAGAGAAGTGTACAGTTTAAACTAAAAAAATTGTCAGTCAGGCCTCCTCCAGAACGTGGGCATCCTGGACAAGTGCTTCTGGAAATAGCAAACTGTGAAGATCATGTATTTTCTGTTCATACTTGCTGAATTGTTAGCATCTTTTGTACATTTTGACATACTGTACTAATAAAACCTGTTCCCAATCCCATATAGTCAAGGAACTGAACAGAGGTATTCTCACTCAAAGTGGTGAAACACATTCTCTGCATCTAATGAAAGAACATAGAGACCTCTAGCTGGGATGATGACACCTGAGCATAAAGCTTGGCAATATCGGTGAGATGGGCCTATAGCTAGCATAAAGTGTGGGATTTTTACATATTTGTTCTAACAGCAGAGATATAAAATCCCGCTATACATGTCCATATGTGTCATGTCAGGCAAAAGAGCATTTAATCTGGGCAAAAATATCAGATAGAATTGTTGAAGAATGCCATCAATGCCTGACAAATTTCCATTTGACAGAACTCCTTTTAGCATCATTCCATTCCAGGAAAAAAGGTTAATGAAGAAATTGGGAGGAACTTCCTGCATTTTTTCTGATCAGACTTAAAGTTAGAAATAGACCAAAGTATGCAAAATGTGGAATTTATCTGTGAAGGATCTTCCAGTAATCTCACCTGTGCCAGTCTAACAACAAGAATATCTTAACATTGTTCATTACGAATCATCCATAAAAAGTGAAAAGAGAAGAAAAAGTGTTTTTTCTTGTATTTAATCCTTGATAACACAATTATCCCTTATGGTGAACTTCTCACTGTGATTTCCTTACTCCTGCCAAGTCAGGAGTGCTAGTTTTCGTTGGCCTGTAATTGGAATAGAACCACAGTATTGATACCTTCTTGTGAAGCTTCTTAAGAGCAAGCTTCATTGCCTTTTCCTTCAAAAAGTTTTGTTGTTGTTCCATCTTAATCTATCCTCAAGTTCAATTACCTGTCACTTTGCAAGCAAATTTCAGTCTTGTTAATTTAACTTTAACAGCATTTCTTACTTTTTAGCAATAACTTACAAAGCTCTTTCTTGTATGTCACAGGGATCTTTAACACGTTATCTTTTATTTAATAGGATGCAGTTTGACAAAGTACATGGAAAGACTGGAAGAGATAAAAAAAAGTGAGTAACATTCCTAATGGGCTTTTTAGAGAAGGGGCATGCATTATTTAAAATATAAGTTTCTCTTGAGAATTGTTCTGTAAGAAGAAGAGCTTTGGTGTTGTCCAACCAATAGTGTGAATTTTCATGACTATTACCGTTCACTATTGTTTTTATTGTAATGCTGTTTTTACTCAGGTAAAGGGGTTTAGCTTAGAAGCATTTTAACTTCTCATTTTTCAGATAAAATGGCCTTTTTACACACAAGCTGTCCTGTTGCTCTGATATTTAATGGACTGTTCTCTTTGGTATCTGGCAGAATAACTACATTGTTTGTAAAGGCTTTTTGTAAGTTTGTTCTGATTTCTCATGGATAAGAAACAGTGATCCCTTCTCTAAGAATGGGATTATTTTGTCCATTACAATAATTTCTCTGTCTGCCTTGTAATAGGAGGGTTAAATGAAGGTTTTTTGTGGCAGTGATAATTTTTGGAATGACATACAAGAGGCTGGGTTATAACTACCTCAAGCAGGATTTTAAAAAGAAAACCTGGAAACTTTGCACACCTGTGTGTAGGCAAACTGTGATAACCAAAGACCAAGTGAGAATTCTCAAGCACATATAAAGGGATATTCTAAGAGCAAATTGCACCAATATGTTAGGAGATCAAGATGAATCTCAAACCACTGACAGTCATGACCCAGGTAAGTTGTGTACCATGAAAATCTGCATAACGCCGAAGAAAGCGAAGTGTACGATGTGCTCTAATTCAGTTTCTGTTAATTCCAAGAGTTGCTTACATTTAAAATACATCTCTTTTGACAGTTATGGTTTTTTGTCTTTCTTTGAAATATATTTTTATATGTATTTCATACATTATTATTTATATGAGGCCTATTTTTTTAAGATTACAGATATCGAAAGGATGAACTTTTCAAAAGGCTTAAAGTGGCGACATTTGCTCAGCTGGTAAGTTAAATTTTAATGTGAATAATGTTATAAATGCTTTTACAGTGTGGTAGTTTGCACAGTGTGGATGTTGTATTGAATAGTAAAATTATTTTTTCTTTTACTTAAAATAGTACTACTCACATCCATATCACTTGAGAAAATATTTTACTTTAAAATAGATCAGTTAGATTTACAGCTCAAGTTTTAATTGTTGGTTTCAATTCAGGCAGAATAAATGAAAATCTTATAAATCAATGGAAAACACAATTAATTGTTTGTATGCCTAAGGAGGGTTGCCAATTTTCTCTATTTGTAGCAGATGTCAGAGTAATTATTGAGATTATTAATTAATTATGATTAGAAGAAATTATTTTCTGATTTTTCTATTCAGATCTTCACACAGTTTGTTCTTTCCTTAAAAGGTCATTCAGGTTGCTTCTGTATCAGATCACGATGATGAAAATGACAAAGATGTGCATAGTCTAGATGGTAAGGCTTTCTTGTTTAATTTCAAATGTTCTACATTTACTAGCTGATTTTTCCTGTGTCATCTCCAGGAAAGTATAATCAGAGATGATTGCACTGCTTTTAGTAATAACTTCCAGTAACATGTAAAATTACTGGGTACAAACAGCTTGACAGCTTTTAATGTGTTTTTATAGATCACTGATTTGATTACACAGCTGTCAGAATGTGTAGGAATGTTGTAAGTAAAATTACTAGAAAAACATTAATACATGTTTCTATTTATTATGTAATAAACTGTCCATTACTTAAATTACAGTAAATGTGGTATTGAGTGCTTTCTCTGCAATCTAGATAATATTTCAGTGATGTCCGAGACCGATGCAGAGCTTCTGTCAGAACGGACAAATGGAACCCCAGAAACAACGCCAGTTCAGTTTATAGACAACAATAATGAAGTGGGTGATACAGGGATTTCACCAAGGTCAACACTTCAAAGGTAAAGTAATTGAGAAGAGACAAAATGAGTTATAGCATTACTGCACACATTCTGGAGCTTCTGAACAGATCCATCTTTCCACAGATCTTTTGTCTTTTTTTTTTTGTACCTTTGTTGCTTTATAAGCGTATTTGGATATTGAATTGCATTGGCATCAACTAAGCTGTAAATGATCTAAACAAAGGGTGAAAGTCTGTACACTGTAGGGACTAGGACGTAATTATAGTTGATTTTGTAAAAGTACAGGGGGTAAAAATGAAATAATTTGTTTTGTGGACCAAACAAAAATGTGTTGTTAATGTTATCATTTTATAGTGTAATAAGTGGTGTTGGAGAGATGGACCTAGATAAGACTGCACAGAAGAATGTACACCAGAAGCCTTCAAGTCCAATGATGACAGACAAACCATACCCAGACTGTCCATACTTATTGCTAGACGTACGAGACAGAGATGATTACGATCGGTGCCATGTTATTGGTGGTAAGAATTAGATTTAATGACTGCTTGTGATCATCTTTGATTTTTTTCAATAGATTAATAATATTATGTATAAACATAATAGTAATCTAGGATTATAATTGAAACCTTATTTTAGTATTAACTGCACAGATCCATATTCTACCAAATGTTAGGTTAGCATTATCCATTATAAAATGTTTCATGACTAATAAGTAGTGGAACTTTATTTTGCAGCTTACAGTTACCCCATTGCAACTCTGTCCAGGACAATGAACCCATATACCAAGGAAGTGCTGGAATATGTATCCTTTATGATACTAATGGAGCCATTTGGCTTACACTTGTCAGTCAACAATCCTATAAAAATAACTAAGTCTCATATTTCAATATTAACATCATTATCTCCTTTCATATAGTGAAAAAATCTGTAATATTTTGTGAATGTATTTTATTAAAAATGATGTTATTACCATGTTATCTGTACAGTAAAAAAGCATGAAAAACTTTATACATATAACTTCTGACAAAAGTGCACTACACATTTCTGAATGTACTTTTTGAACTTTAGCAATTATAGGTTACAAATTTAGGTTAAAATGAAAAATTAAAATAAGTTGATTATAGTGCCTTGCAAAAACTTATTCAAAACCTGAATGTCCGAGGACTAAGATATTTAAAGTAAATGTGTAGCTTTGACCTTGTACTTTGGATTATTGTCCTTCTGAAAGGTGAGTTTTTGTCCCAATTGTAGGTCTGAAGCACAGTAAGTTTACCTAAAATTATGTAAATTACAGTCTCCCTCTAAAGTGACTAAGCATGGAAGGGATGACATCATGAGGCAAATAGCAGAGTTCAGTGGCAGTGATTAGAGAAAATGTCCATAAGCCAAAGGTATCCCATTTTATCTGATGCAATCCCAACACAACACATCACCCAGTCACTTATATTCTTACTGTCAAATATGGTTGTGGCAGCATTGCATTACTGCACACCTTCTCATCAGTTTGGACTGTCCCAGAACTGACAAAAGTCAGAAGGATAACGATCCAAAGCACAACAGCAAAGACATGCTTGAAGTAATCTAACAACAAGAGAAAATGAATGTCCTTGAGAGGTACAATCTCCTGATTTTAATCCAATAGAAGATCTATGGCAAGACTTCAAAATTACTGTCCATCAGTGATCCCCAACTAGCTGGAAAAATCTTGAGCAAGTTTGCAAAAATTAGAATGCGTAAAGATTGCACTTTACACTTGCTGTGCAAAGTGGAAGAGACTTATACAAAAGTGTACGTATCTAATTATTGCCAAAAGGGCTTCCATCAGATATTGAATCAGGGGTCAATACTTATCCACTCCAGCATATTTTAGTTTTTGATCCTTTTTGGAGTTTTTGGTGACATTTAACTTGTTTCATCCAAAGTGTCCAGTTTGAGCATTCAGGTTTTGATATCATATAAAAGTCCATACTAGAAAATATTCTTGATCTGATTCAGTAAGCTCCTGAAGTTGATTTATGATTCAGGGTACATGAATAAAAACAAATTGTACTTAGTTGCATAGAATCTAGGAATATGTACATACAGTATAAAGAAAGTATTTTCATCAGTTAACCACCAAATGAGCTAGTTCGGCCAAATAGCCTATTGAACTTTTATAAGTGTTTTCTTTTTTAGCACGTATAATGGATGCTATGTATCTTAACCAATCAATGTAGAAAAATGCTTCAGGTAAAATCATTATCCTTTATGATGAAGATGAGAGGATTGCCAGTCAGGCAGCAACCACAATGTGTGAGAGAGGATTTGAGAACCTGTTCATGCTTTCAGGAGGTGAGCTCTAATTATAGAAGTAAAAACCAATTTGGAATCCCTGAAGTAAGTCCACTCTTTGAGCACAGAACAGTTGTGAAAACATTTCTTTGTTATTTCAGTTTTATCTATTGATAAGATTGATTGTGTTCTCTCTTGCAGGGCTGAAGGTGATCGCCCAGAAGTTCCCAGAGGGAATGACAACTGGTTCTTTTCCAGCACAGTGTCTACAGTCCGGTCCCCCCACATCAGGACGGAAGCGCTCAGCTCCAAGACAGCCATCATATCCAGCAGAAGATAAATGGCGATTCACTGCAGAAGACCTGAACAAAATGCAGTTTTATTTGGAGGAGATGCTCATTCCTGCAGATACAAACAGTGAGAATATCTTAAAAATTAAAATAAAAACTTATTGTAAATATAAATATATATTACCTATTATATTTTAGTTTTTTAAGTTGTAAGTGAAATTTAAGATGTAAGTTAAGAAATTTTGCCTTGTTTGTTTTTTCAATTTATGCATCTATTCATAAAGTGAGTCGAATGATAGTCCAGATTAATTCCCTTTAAACTATACCATAATTAACAGTTAATTAATGTAACAGTGTAGGAAATGCATGTTTTTTTGTTACCTTTTAATAATGAAATATGTTTGTGTTTTCCAGGCCGTCTGAGTCGCCTATCAAGTGGAAGTTCCTCTGCCAAGACATTCTGCTCAAGTGCTAGAAGTCGCCAAACTCCCTCAGTAGCTGGGTCAGGCAGTGCCAGGTCTCAAAGCAGCCGGCCATGGAAATAAATTGCTAATAAAAATATTCTGATTAGAGGTTAACAGTATAGTTCTGTGAAGATATACATTTGTGTATCTTTTTTGTACATTTGTGATCTACCTTCAGTATGCTTTAGTCTTATGGCTGTAGTTTTAAGCTGCCCATATTGCCTTTAATACTTACTGCTTGTCTTATTTGTAATTGATTCAATTTAAACACATTACTGTCAAGCAAGAATTCTTATAAAGGAATTGAAGATTGAAGGTCTTTTCACAAAATTGTTTGCAGGAGATCTTTCTTCCACGTGTTTTTAAGGTATTATTTTCACTGGTGTGAATAAAAATAGTCAGGAATTAATCGTCATAAATAATCCTAATCATCTGGTGTGCTTTTCTGTATTGAGCTATGTAGAGACAATTAATTTGTGTTTAATTAGAGCATCTTTTTCACAAGAAATCATGTGATAGTACCTGATATTTTAAAATTTAATAAAGATTCTCTGGCATTTTCTTTATAACTGCAATAGAATCCACAAAACATGATTTCATTCAATGTCATATTGCACCTGTTCATGTAAACAATGATAATTATCAGCCAATTTTATCAAAACCGTCCTTTCATTAAAATCCAAAGAAACATTGAGACATATTTTGAAACAAAGAAGCCTAATTTTCTTTTATGAATGACATCATAAAAGGTCTAGAGGTCTAGACATCCTGCATTCACAGCATTGGTGCATCCAGTTTATAACTGAGCAACATGAGAGTAGAATGTAATCATTTTTTCTTGTTTAAACTGTGATGTTGAACAATATTCACATGATTGCAATGACTGTGTTTGTATTTTAGAGTTAATGATTAATCTTACATTTAAAGTTAGGCTTTATTCCTTGAGCGACTTCTTAAAATGATTTAATAACAAGCTGTTACTTAAGTTTTGTAAATTGTGGGTTTATGGAAATGCCAAAAATATTTGCGTTATGCAACTATGGAGGAAAATGTATAAACACTCAAGATGTAAATGTCTTAATTTTGGGTCACTGTAGTAATGTTTTGTAATGAAGTAACGCAGAACCTTAAATTTCCACCATGCTAATTTGCCTTGTTAGCAGTTGTGTTGCTTTTTAAAGTATTAATTTGCTACAAAATGCATACTCAGTATCGGTCACAGAAATACTAACCAGACTGTCAGCGCAGTACTTGCAAGGGGTATAGTCAAAGACAAATTGTTAAGGAATTAAGTTACACCACCTTTTGTTCTATGGGATATACCTGCACAACATACTGTAGGACTGTTTAATTTAATCAAGAGCATGTGTTTCTGAATAACTTCAAGCAGTGTTTCTTTCTATTTTATTAAATGCAAGCCATACCTAAAAAATAGTGAACTAAGAAACAAATCTATTTTTATAGAAATAGTCTGTTATGGAAATCCATGTCATTCATAATATTAGCAACAAGGAAGAAATGAACAGTGCCTATTAATACTATGATCATGCTAGTAGTCAATATGAGAAATAAAGCAATCGACATACAGGTTAAATGTCTGTAACACTGGTTAACAAAAAATGATTCTATTATTAATATCAAGTGTGTTATTCAAGTTTTTAAAACAGTATGGTGGAAGTATTTTTTATTAAATTACAGACAATGTGGTTTGAATATTTATGGTATAAGGTGATCAACTACAATACAATATGTATAGCTAGGTGTTATGTTCAAGATTAGATCCATTACATGTACTGTAAAACCTACATTTTAATTCCATGATCTTTTAGAAAAAAGTATATGATAAATTCCTGAAAATTAATATTAGCAGGAGATATGCTTTTTATTTTGATGTTATGCATGTGTAAATTCTAATACAGTAAATGCAGTGATGAGCATTTTTAAGAATTTCTCTTAAGAAAATGAAAAACAGTTGAAAAGTTTGGTGCAAGTGAAAGTGTGAATGATTCTGAAAGTACACTACTTATAAACTGCAAGATGTGTAAAAAATTTTAATTGAAGAATTGAAATTTTAACATGGCTACAAAGCAGTGACATTTGTGGTACAGTTGACTTAAATGCAGTAATTCTAATATAATTTTATTTATTAGCCATGAAATAATCAGATTTCTGAACGTTCGTATTCACAGCTTCTGAAAATGGTCTTATTTTGGCATAATTTTGTATATTCCTTTTGTTACTCTTTGACTTCAAAATGTAATATTCTTGTATTTTTACCTTTGTCTTTATTGCATATATTTTAAAATCTTTTAGTGTTTAATAAAGTGCTTAGTGGTGGATTTTGTTTTCTTTTAAAACATCTGTGTTGATTTGTGCAATTCAATGTGTTTGATTGGGTTGGGCTTAGGTTGTTTTACATTGTGACCTTAACCACACGACAAATAATGTGTTCATTAGTATAAAATGTTTAAATAATTTTGAAATTGAGTGTAAAGCTTTCTCTGACTTAAAAGCCAAAGTAAATGTATTATAGAAAACGTATGAAGAGTATAGAAGTAAAGTGATAAAATTAAAAGAATTACAGGATTAAACTGTATGTGAAATAATTTAGACTTAACCATTTGTATGTTTCTGCTAGAAGGAATTTTATTTGTATTTTTGTAAGCAAAAAAGTCCTGTTCTGCCAAGTTAATTGGTTGATATACATAGTTGGAGAGGGGTCACAGTTGCTGTAATACACAGATGAACATTTACACCAGCACAAACGTAGGAGTTAGTAAGGGTTATCTCGGGCATGCTCCATGATGGCCATGAGAGCCAGCCAGGTCTCCTGTGCAGTTGGAATGATTTGGTTGGCTGGCAGCAGGAAGCCATAACGACCACTGTCCCTCAGTTCAAAGGTGAAGGAATATTTGATGCCTTGGTTGTAGGTCCAGTCAATAGTGCCACCACTGGCCTGGTCTAGTTGGTTAAAAAAAAAGAATGGCATGACTTTCAAATAACTGTTTTTTCATTGCACTTGTATGCAAGAACTTTACTTTCCAAATACTAAGCCATATGCTTTCAGACATTTATCTAGCATTAATTCTTGATTTTCTAGAAAACTAGATTATTTAATGAAGTGCCAATGTTTTAAAAGAAATATGAATATATTAGCAAGATTTCTCAAAATGAATAATTTAATCACACAGGTATAAAAGAGACAAAAATATATTGATCATAAAAATGCTTTTCAGTTGCCCATGCCATGTATTTAAAACAAGAATGTTGTAAACATGTATTACTTACAGATGGTAGTGATAATACTTCCATATCTGTAGTTGGTTTGATACAGTGAGGACAAAGCAGTAACAGCTTTTGTTGCAACGTTATGCTGTAAATAAAGAGGATATACATGAAATAAACATGCCTTGATCCTGTCTGTTGTCACTTTAAGTTTCAGCTTATTAAAAAATAAAATTATCTAAGGAAAGTCTATTTCCCCTTTTTAACATAGTGTTTTCCATGTAGGAAGAGACCCGCTTTGCCCACTGAAGTGTAGCACCCATTTAGGTGGCATAGAGGCAGCTATTATGCACCAACAACATCAAAAAGCAATGGATCAGACAAAGAGAAAATGTGGCTCACCAATTCAATTTTGTTGAATCGTTAGGTAGGCTAGATTGTCCAAGCCCAGACCTCAATTTAGTATGATGAGGTTAACATCTATAGTCTTACAGTGCCAGGACCAGGACAACAGAGCAGTGAGGGCCAAGACCTTGTTTTAATGACATCAAAATCACAGCACTTTCTGCAGCACAGTGTCCCTGATCAGTATACTGGGACATTGTTTTTTTAAGGCCATCGACTGGTCCATCAGTATCAATTACAGTAGTAAGTCAAAGGTTATGGGACATGATCAGATCAGTAGAAAGTGGTAATGGTGCTGTAATTATCCATATCTACTGTAAGTGTCCTGCCAACAGACGTTTGCTACAGTATCATTGTTACTGAAAAAATTAGTTTGTAATCACTACTTGGTGGTAACTACTGTGATGCAGAAGTTCATCCCCAAAACAGCTTCAGGGTTTTGACTGGGTCCAGCACTTTTTCCGTTTCTTTTTTTTACAGATTTGGAATTTTGTGGAAAAGTTTTGACCTACCAGTTCCTCTTGATCTCGGGCAGGAGTTCTAGTGTATCCATAAGGATAAAGAAGCATCTGGGAGTAACTGTGAATGGAGACGAAGGCCTTGAAGTTGCCGTGACTCTGCACAAAGTCCACGATGGATTTCACTTCCGACTCGGAATGAGCATACGGCCCACGGTAGGTCTCGGAGCAAGGGTTACTGCTGGCACCAGCCCCTGCCGTTAGAAGAGTCAAAAGATGTTATCAAAGAAGTCCAACTGGAGAAACCAGAGGGCCGAATCATAGACACTTGACAATATGTACACTTAGGAACTGATGTTTCTGACTGACAGAAGACTTTATTGTTTCTAATGTTTCAAAGTCTCTGCAGCCTACCATTAAGCATCACTAAAGTGGAAGAGGGTGCAGAAAACCAAGGCATTTATAACGCTATGATCTGAGGAATTTAGAATCAAAACAAAAATCCCTTTAGAAGAAATAAATTCCTCCAAGAATATAAACATGTATTGTATTCACTGTACTAAATGTACCATAAAAGCGGCCTAGAAATAAACAGGAGGGTCACAAATATAGTTTATGGATAAACATAACTTTGGCCACTTAATAATGAAAAAATATTAAGTTCATATGGTCAGTTTTTGGAAATTGTATTTTGAGACTCTCCATCTTGAACTCAAAGATCGTATTTGGTTTGTAAATCTGTATCTGTTCTCTGTCAATGTGCAGAAGGAGACAGAAGGATGTGTTTTGCTTTAACTATTAATAGCAGGTTTGTGCAAACTAAAACAATACTGATTTAAGATAAGGTGGTTTCCTAAGTCCTTTATTCCCAAAAACCAAGGACATTAATGTAACTTCAAACAAAGTGACTCTAAAAGGTTTCAATAGACATTCAGATCTTAGTGTAACAAACGTGTCATGGAGCTGTACAGTAACAGGAAAATTAAAGGATTTTAAATATAATAAAGACTGTTTAAACTGAACATTTAAGATCTAAGCTCAAATATTTTTAACTTTAATGCTGCACCAAAATGTTAATGGAATAAATTTACAAATTATTTTCAACATACAATACATATTTATACATTGAATTTTGCTGCTGGGAGCAACATTTAGTCCAGCCATTAAATGTTCTTGAGTTTTTTCTAATCTCTTTCTTGGTATTTCTTCTTACCAGCATTGTCATGTTTAGCAATCTCAGCATCAAAAACTCAGCAAGGGGAGCAGTTAACATGTATTACAAGCCTAGTAAACTATACCAGAAGATATAACAATTACTGTACCTCCAAAGCCAGCATCCCAGTTTCTGTTTGGGTCTACTCCCCTACAGGATGATCCTGGGTTTGTAGATCGAGTTTTACGCCACATACGGTTCTGTGCCACAAAAGGACAGTAAGAAAGATTGCATGAAGATCCTTGGCTTTGAAACACTGAGGTACGCTAGGTGAACATATGAATTGGATCTCACTTACGGATGTGTGTGTAAAATAATAGCCATCTGGGTTAGTGACAATCTCAAGGAAGATGTCCATTTTGTTGAGGATTGAGGTAAGGGAAGCATCACGTCCGTAGTCTGTTGCGATCTGAAACATGTATTACACAATGTAGTTATGAAAGCAGTGACACAATCCTGAATGTACACAGCAAGAAAGAATTATGCTAAAACGTAGCATGGATTTTGGCTGCATTAGACCTTTATAATTCCAAATGAGTTTAACTTTCTGTTGACAGAAAGTAGTGAATTATATCATCCCTGATGCTGATGTTCTGAATGTTAATTTTTTATTGTGACCTGACAGTATAAAACCATAACAGATCCCTAGAAGGAATTCTATTTTTTTTCCTTTAGTAAATTTCTAGAATCTTTTTTTTTTTTTGAGGGTGCTGGCACCACACATCTTGTAGTCTATCCATACTGGAAACAGAGAAGTAACACAAGGCACCTTCTTTGCAAACCACACTCCACTGGCCTGGGTGACCCATTCTCTGGAGTGGATGCCTGTGTCAATCCAAATTGAAGGACGATCAGCTCCACCAGTGCTGAACTGTGGAGAAGAGAATTTGCAGGGCAATTGAAAAACAACTTAGAGTGCAGAGCTTTTGTTAAATGTTTTGCAGATTCCATAGTGATTCATCATCATTACCAATTGGCAACACATGCCAGAGATCATATTTATAGTGTATTAATTGAGCACAAACTTCAGTGCTTTAGAAGAAATGCATATTTTGTCACTGAATAATGAGACCATCACATTGTTTTCAAAACCTTTGGTTAACTGTTTACCTGAAGCACATATAAAGGACGACCCTCAAAACTTTGTCCAATTTGGATCTTGCTGACCAGGTTGGGGTGCTCAGAAACCAGTGTATCCATCCATCCATAAATCTAAGAACAAACAAAAGCAAACTCTTAGAAAAGGACAGACATGAAATCAGCAGAAAATACGGCTTAAAGCTATTATCTCAAAAGTGAGTAAATGCAAGAGAAATGGCTGTCGTATTTAACTTCGACGTTCACTAATAAGATAATTCAGCCATTCTAGCCCATTTATTTACTTGGTAGTTACTAACTAATTAATGCAAGAATCTCATCCAGCTGTTTTGTTTAAAAAGAAACCAATTGAAGGGGAAAATTCTATACTGGACAGGATAAATCAGGATAGGGTGGTACTGTATAAATCAGGTATCGAGATGGCACTAAAAGAAAACAAGGAATACAACTTGTTATTCAGAAGCCATTCACACAACTCTTCCAACAATTCCTCAAAACAGGGCAGTCTTTAACCAGTACCCAGGAACTGGTGAATTGTTAATGTGGTGCCTGTCCCTTAAAAGTGTAAGAAAGCTGAAACAAGACTAGTAAGTCTGACTTCTATAACATGTAAGGTAATGCATCATCTATATGTACAGTAAATGATAACCTAGGTAATAGTCAAAATGGATTTAGAAAAGGCAGGCCATGTTTAACCATCTTATCCGTTCTTTGAACAGCCAACAGTAGTAATGAATTGACACAGAGCATACTGTATGATATAGAAGAAGTCTCCACAGCCAAAACATTGTGTTTCTTTTCTTCCCTTTTCAGCATGGAATAAACTTTTACTTGTTCCTTTACTGTATGTAAATTTCAGCAGACTTGTGGTAAAAAGATTAATTCTCTAATTGCAGGCTAAAGGCATTCAGGGAAAGAGTGTTTTGTGTTAGCCCTTTTTCATTGCGATCAGAGTACAGATCAGTGGTGAAAGTAAAATCATAATTTCTTATAAAGGCGCTGACAAAGTCAACCAATTTCTTCAGAATGAACAGTAAAATCTGAACTGGAGGACACAAGTCTACGTGGACGTGTATTTAAAACCAGCAACAAGAGACGCATCTTTACTCAGGGTTGTAGGAGTTTGGAACAAGCTACTTTTCCATTTTGATGAATTCATTTTCTCTGGCTTCTTTCAAGATCCTTGGGACAGTAAGATACTACAGTAGCTACAAAATGAGCTGATGAGGCGAATGGCCTCTTCATGTTGGTAACCTTCCTTATGTTTGTTAAAAACACCTCTTTGCCTCTCCTCCAAACAATACTAGTTAATGCATTCATTACTAGCTGACTAGAAATTTGGACTCCTGATTGTGCAAACTTATCATTTAGCGTTCTCTGACCTCATCCAGAGTGTGGTAGGTGGAATAGACAAAGCTGTCAGTGTTGTGGTCTTGCGGCATTGAACGAAATCTCTTCATCTGATGTTGCTCTTCATCCAGCAGTGCCTGGTGCAGTAAACAGAGAATTAAATCATTAATCATGAATTGGTAATAATGAATTGGCGTTATTTTTTCAGCAATAACTACGTCTTTGTACATCATGGAGAGTATTGTTTTTTTAGTCTGAATTTTGAACCGAATTGTTATGGTTAAAAATTGCTCGATATGCATTAAGAAATAACACTGGATGAATATTGGTATATTTTGGAAGACAGGTGTGGAAAAAGCTTGGAATCTGGTAACTTTCCCAGACACACAAGTCCTGTCGATAGTACCTGCAGGTCTTTAACCATGACAGTGTAGGAGATGCTGTTGGACTCTAAGAACACTTTGACGGCTTGGAGGCTGGCAAATGGAACATGAACATCAATAGGGAGATCGGGATGTCTTGGCTCCTTCCAGAATTCCAACTAGGAAAAAAAAAAGACTTTTTTTTATGTGTCACACTGCACATCAAACTCTTTCACAATAAAACGAAACAGCTTTAACTATCTGTATTGAGCAAATTGGAACTTTTGTTCACTGTCAATGTATACTGAAGTCATTCTTTTGTAATCTAAATGTCTAGCACACTAGATGAGAGGGCAGGAGTGGTCAACCTTCTAGATTTATTACTAGAAGTCTGAGGGATTCAAATCCCATCCCATTTGGTCCAGTAAAAACACCCAGCTGTGTAAATGTGTCCTAATGCAAGTAACGTTGGATAAAAGCACCACCCAGATAAATTAGTTACTGACCTTAAAAGAAAGGAAGATGTATACATATACAGATAGAGGCATATGAAAGGACATTGTTCAAATTCACAGAAATTGTAATCAACCTGACAGACAGGATTGCATTGGTGTTGTAATATGGTTACTATTTATCTCTGGTCTGTCTTCTTTAATCTTTTGCAGCCATACATTTGTAATTCATTTAAATAATATGTATTAATTTAGGGCGGCATGGCTGTAAATGTTTCTGTCTCACAGTTTTTTGAGATCCGGGTTCGATTCCCAGCTGGGGAGTTCTCATGGCTTTTTCTCCAGGTGCTCTGATTTCCTCCCACTGCCCAAAGATATGCTGCTGAAATCTGGTTGGTTATTGTAAATTGTCCATTCTGTGACCTTGCAATGAACGGAAATGCATTTACAGTAGGCCCCATTCTTTTTTTCACCAGAAGAGGTCACTCACATGTCTACATCTGAACAGTGCTGATGTTGTGAATATTAAAATATAATAATATTAAAAGTTTACCCTCTGACACTTAGAACAGTTGTATTATTATTATTATTATTATTCATGGCTTAGTAACAATGGCGGTGAGCAGATTTGTTTTCAGATACAACACTATTTCTTCCTCCTCTGCCACTTTTTACACACAGCTGTACCTGCAAGTCTTCAAGGTCCGAGAGTTCCTGTAACAGGGTGATCTGATCTTCATCTTTGGCTGTTACCCGCAGCACCTGATCTCTGCAACCACAGCATAAAGGTGTTAGAATTCAACATTTAAAAAAAATTACATTTAAGAACATTCCTGGCAGCTCTAGTACTTGTTCCGGACAAAATAGGGCAATCTTTCCCACTAGCTATCCATTTCTTCCACACAAGGTCTCTGAAAGCTAGGAGCCTCCAAATGTTTCAGACATTCTAAAACACTTTTTCTTGTGTGAATCTGTATTCAATCTGCAAATGATTAGTTATAAAAGATAACAAATGAGCATCGCAAATCATTGTGATTTGCTCTTCTTCCACATCACATTCATTCCATCAGTATCAGGTCTTGTAAAGTAAATGATAAAGTTTTTCATGAAGACATGCCGTAAAACAATTCAATTTCTAACTTCAGGTATTTCATTAGATGTCAGCTGCACATTTGTTTTTCAAAGCCTCTAAAGGTCTAGGAACGTACCCCACAAACAGCTTCTGGCTGAAAACAGCCACAAAAAGAGCAGCGAGCAACAGCAGCCCCTTCATGCTGAAGAAAGAATAGAAACATGCTCAGCGCTCAATTCCTTTTATAGCGTCACAAGCCACACGGTTGCATAATGACCTCACATTTACGTGTAATAAATGACCTTCTGGAATGGGCACAAACAAGTGTCTGCTGTTCAGTTTCCCACAGATATGTCTCAAGGACCTGATATTGTCTTGTAGGCACTTTCAACATTTGAGATGTGAGCCAGCACTTTCTGAAAACAAGTGGCCTCGACACAGTGCTTTCTGACGTCTCTCTTGCAGCTGCAGAACTTGACTTTTGAAATTTTAAAGCTGCTAAGAATAATTGCAAACAGGTTATAGAGGAATGAAGATTATAAGGATGAGAAAGGAATGCAGAGATGGCCAGTGAAATCAAGAGGTTGCATTGCTTTTCTATTACAGACTGCACCACATTGCTCCAATGAATCTGTAAGTATACAGATGGAGGGGCTTTGATTACTAGATTACAGTACTACGCTACAGAAAGATTGGTGATGAAGTTGGTAAACCCGAGACTACATCTGTGAATGTCGAGTTGACCACAAATTCAACAATGTGGCCATCACTGTATGTTACCAATGACAATCTAAAAGTCTTTTACAGTATATATACTACCAGTTTGACCATTACTTTTCAACAGTCTGCGTCAGAAGAAATAAATAAATGTAATGATTCCAGTATGTACACATGGTGAACTTCTATCATGTCTATAGCAGGCTTCACAATTTATGTAAGTTTCAATGACTTGGGATTGAAAGCAAAGCACCCAACGTGAAACACATGCATAAAATTACATTTTATTTTTATTAACAAAGGTGCGCCATTCTTGCTCTGTGGAAGCATGAATATTTGTGGAGTGCTGCCCAACCCTTTATGATTTATATACAACCACACAGGATGATCCCAACTTCTACCATTTAAAATAAATATAACAAGAAAGAAGTCTGCATACACAGAGATGCAAAATGAAAATTGATGTGAATTAATGTATGTTATGCTATTGGTGTGTAAATTACAAAATGTACAGAATGATCAAGCTACAGTGTACATGGTGGTCATAAAATCATACAATTACCTCAGGAAATATTATCTCTGTAATGCGACTTCCTTGAAATTCATATTAGACACAGGTTTGTTATACGAATGTGAATAGAAGTGAAAAAGAATGATAAAGCAACGCTGAAAATGGTTAGAGCTAAAAGGTGTTTCTCTCTGAGGAGTTTGGAAGATTTTATCATCTGCATCAGAATAATCAATAAACCATCAGCAATTGTTATTAAAAGGTGTCTCTTATTGTAAGTTTTCCCATTTTGGGGACTTTCTAGAACCAAAACCTGTTGTTTTTTAACATCTTTTGTAAGAAATAACATGCCGTATGCTATATTCTTATTATTGTGTTTATTTTATGTCTATTCAGAAACAAACATATTAGCATGACATGAACAATGATTTTAAACCAGAAAGTTACAAAATATAAAAAATATATGTTAGTCTACATTAGCCCTACTCATTTTAATATACAGTTAAAGTATAAAATAACAAGCATTAAAATACTTACCCATGAACTTTATCAGTTAGATAGCAGAAAACCTAAATAAAGTTGCAAACTGTTTCCATGACAAATAAATAAAAACCTAGGGAGAAACCTAGGGAGAAATTGATAAGATTATAGCTTGTGGTAGGACCAAAAAAACGAATTTGGTCATATTCAGTAAACCTTCTTAAAAAAGCCAAAAAGACCGCCTATTCCAGGAAATGGGGTTTAATGTAAATGAGATTCAGTATGTAAAGTGCTCCCCAAACATATTAGAACAGCAAAGTCAAAACTATTATTTTTGCTTTGTAGTCAACCGTTTTTGTATGTGAGATCATGAAATTAATACAAATGATAAATAAATACAATGAAATTTATTTTTTATTTGAGGTAACTCCAGCACATACTATATCTGATCATATCAGAACAAAAAATACAACCCTGTGGTTTCAAGTGATAATAAGCATTTGGACACAGTCACTATAATAAGAATGCAGAGTATAAGGTAGAAAAAAAGACAAATATGATCCCTTATTACAAACATATATTGATAAACTCCTGATTGTACAGACAAAGGTAAAATAGCAATAAATAACGTGTTGACAAATTTAATTATGGTCAGGATATAAAAACAGAACATATAAAAAACATATGACGTGATTATTTGAATGAGAATATCTTGCAACATTAGTTATTGCTGTGATAAATCTTGGTGAGGTTAAGACTATGGCTTGGGTTGGAGATAAATCTAAGCCTAAGGCTAAAATATATCCAATTTTTCATATCACAGCATTTTGGGAATAAATACTTTGCTCATAATCTTCTCATTTTCATCATATCTTACCCAAGACTTTTCACAAAATAGTTCCTTCCTTTCAAACTGTAAAAAGACAGATTAATGTTCATTTTCCAAAACATTTACCACAGTTTCCTCTTTATAGCATGTCATGAGTAAGGAAAAGTATAAATAAGACACTGCAAGGGGCTAATTAAAAATTCCAAATTAATCCTTTACAGAAATGCATGTTTTGAGGCTGTCAATTTAAAAAAAATACCCCATAAAAACAATTTCGATACAATGTACAATTATGTTTTCTTAAGGGAAATTGACAAACCCTGAGTTCAATTTTTTCACCGATTTGAATGAAAAATAAATGCTTCAGGAATGTTTTAGTGAGTGAAGGAAGGCTACAGGCTGCAGGTCACAGCTTCTGGAGGGTGAGGGTCAACACCACACCAGTTGGACCCCAGTGGAAGTGGGGTAAAGGTGAAAGAATCCCATTGCCATGGCTTCCTGGGGCACTGACACCGGGTAGGGAGAGGCCTGTGAACAAGAAGCTCTTACCAAGTGCAAACTGAGGCCATGTGTTCACAGACCTGGGATGGAGTGAGCTTTAGTGACTGGAGAGGCTCCTTCCGAGACAGCAAAAAAGAGGACTGGGGAAGAGGGAGAGAAACAATACAGTGAAGACAGGCTGGGGCTGCAGGTGCAGAAGGTTGGACATTCGACCAGAAATGCTGAGAAAGTGGGGGAGAGAGTGTAGAGAGAGGGGAATATGATAAAGAGAGGGTGTGGGAAGAGAGAGAAGAGGAGATATTGTGGGAAGAGGAAGACAAAGAGCAGATGTTGTGGCGGGTAAAGGAAACCAGTTTTGTTTTCTGTAAAGTGGTTGATGTTAGTTAGTGGTTGGTTGGTGTGGATGGCTTGAAGGAGGGGAATGCTGGTCAGTTCACCAAGTTGAAAGGCTAATAAGCTTGAGCAGATGATAAGGGTAAGAGAGGCACAGGAGTGATTGAAATGCAGTCCTAGAAAAGGTGGATGCAAAGATGTGCACTGCAAGCAAACAGTTATATGCAAGACAGTCAAAGTGAAAGATTACAATTTGATCTCTTCCTGAAACATCTCTTTAACAAGTCCATCACTTGGATTTGCAATCAATTCATTCTATACTTGAGACGATCAGACCTACCAGGTGACAAGGCAGCTATTCCACCTTCTACATCATGTTCAGTATCAATGGAGCCCTGAATGACAGTGTTGGGTAAAAGATTGAGGTAACCTTTGTCAGAAAAGACATTAACTTGTTTTTTTCTGATAAAGTGAGTTTTACTAAATGATATTTAGTATTTAACAGTTTTGCTGATTTTCAGCTCTGTCTATTAATTCTAGAGGGAGTCTTTGCACAGAAGTGTGCTTTTGAAAAAGATTTTGGTGACAGAGACATAAATCAGTGGATTGCAATGAATGTCCATTTCTAATCGGAACAAGCTGTTGGACAGGAATTCACACTGCTAAACAATATATGGAAAACGTTCTTGACCTGTCCTCCTTCCAGCATTAGTGTAACCTGGCAGACACTGTTGCCCCTCCTACCACAACCAGGGTTCCACAGGTATTCCTTTGGGAACGGTCTTCACAACTGCCCAATTCAAACCCAACCAAATACTAGTGGGACATCTTGGGTCACCACAGTTGTTTAAAGTAGTTAATCAAAGACCACGGGAAACCTTGAGGCATCAGTGGATAGATCGCTCACGTGCACATGTATATTATTTATCTGATTTTTAGCCAAAACAACCTACATTTTTACAGATTTGACAGAGGGTATTTTACCACATTCAAAAAACTTTGAAAAAGGTACCTTGAAAAAGGGATTCAACACCAGTTACTGAATCCCGTTCAGTGCCCTAAACACTACTGTACCTCACAGTGCTGTTGTGTGGTAAGACACAAGGTGATTTCTAGTCATCAGTGAGACCTGCATGTTTTCATGTTACCTGTTAAATTACATTCAATCCATACATATACCAGATGTGCTTATTACTGAAACATATGAATCATATTAATGTTGTAATAATATAAGAATTTCATACAGAAATTAGGTTTTAACAGTATAGTTAACAACTAACAATAGTCACTGGCTGACAACATGTTTCTCAAGTTAAAAAGACTAACTCCTGAAGTTTTGTGTAACCCAAAGGACAGTTCAGTTTGTTTCCCTATCACAAGGGCAGCCCCAGAAATTACAAGCAGCTGTTTTTTGTCATCTATACAAACATTAGCGGAGGGGGAGAAATTAGGGAGAGTGTAATTCTTCACTGCAAAAGAAACTGAAACTGTTCTCTCCTATTGCTAAACTTCTTTTGATATTTTTAATTAGGAATGTTTTGTGGGTGTTACAAGTCTGTGTTGCGGGACTCTGCGGTTGGGCTCTGTAGGATTCATCCTCATGTATGGGAAGAGAAACTCTGTGGATAAGGTACCTTTACTTCCAATATAAGAGGTTTCCAAATTCAAAATCCATAGCAAAGCATTAAAATAAAACCTCCCTCCTTCTTTGGAGTCCTATCTACATTCTAAGGCATACAGTACATGTCCATATAAAGGATCGGATGACTATTCTATTTTCCAAGCCTGCATTATTGCTAGCATGTGGAGATAAACATTTCATTTCACCTTTAATGCTGATTCTTTCCAGACTGTTAGGGCTTTCTTTCAAAAAAAGAACTTGTTACCAGAATAGCGTCTATTAAACTCTGAGAGCGCCTCAGAGCTCTGACCCTCTGCATAGTCATGTTTGCCACACCCTCACATGGGCTGAACGTGGGTTTAAATTGAAAACTTGAGGAAAGCATTCTGATGGCCAACAGTATCAGTCTTGATGGGCTTCATGAACTAAACAAATCAAGAAGGAACGGCATTGCACCCATAGTTCATACTAGGCTCTCTAACTTTGCCCCATACTTTCTCACAAAAGGTATGAGAGGGATAAGATGGGAAGAAGCCTTGCCTTCCTTCAGAATGAATAGTGAAAGATGAACCAGAGAACACACATGGAAACTATGAGGAAGTGACAACAGGAGACACTTTTTTACACATAGGGTTTGGAACAAGATACGCAGCCATGTCCTTAAAACTGATACCCATGCTGCTTTCAAGAAACAACTGGATGAGATCCCTGAATCAGTTAGCTACTAGCTACCAAACAAGCCAGACAAGCCCAATGGCCTCCTCCCACTTGTAAACTATTTGATGTTTTCACTATTTACAGGGTAATAGTACCATTTTGAAATGTTTACTGAGAATGGAGAAAATAATAAAAACAAGTAATCAGATTTAAGCCATGTAGATGTACAGTATGTAGTATTAAATGGAAGAGAGGCCTTCAAAATATTAACATTCATAAACCTTCTTAAAATGTATTTTTCAAACGATCCATTTAATTGATTTTTTTTAATTCACATTTTCTTCAATAAGGGTGGTCTCGGACATGCTCCATAATCTTCATCAGTGCTAACCAGGTCTCCTCGGCAGTTGGAATAATCTGATCTGCGGGAAGTAGGAAACCATAGCGACCTGTGTCACGCAACTCAAAAGTAAACGAATACTTGATGCCGTTAGAGTAGCCCCAGTCTGCTGTGGTACCACTCGCTGGATCTGAAACGCACAAAAAAAAACAATCTTACTCATTTTGTAGTCTCAGTCAAACCTAATAAAACTTAATCAATGCATGCCTGATAAATAATGAATTACAGTTAAAAGGTCAATACATCCTTAATCTCTCTCTATGTGAAGAACAGTACTGAACAGAAATAAACACTGGAAATAAAAGCTCCTTTTTAGATGATAAAGACATAAAACTCCTCGAGACAGAGAAGGGAAAAAAACACTATCAACATTATCCAATTCATTAGTAAAGATCTAATTTTGGATATTATTATCCCACACTTCAAGGTATGTCTTACTCTTACAGGCTGAAAAACTGTAATATTTTTAGCCTTTAGCAGCAGTGCACTATTTAGGTCACCGTTTTTTTCAGATTTTCAGACTCTTGGAATTAATTTGTTGTCTGGTTCAAGCAGAATATCTTTAAACAAATCATCCATGGTCTACTGATTCCATATCTCTCCTGCTACTTTTCATAAACTTGTTCTTCATAATCTGCTTTCCTGGAATTGTAAAGCTTTGTTTCAGACCCTAGCTGTAAACTTACCATATTGTTATCACAGTTCCCTGACAGTTCTCTGATATCTGTGTTCCTTACTCTAACACATTACCTGAAAAGATTACACCAATATGGACATTTCCTCCAGTAGCTGTTCTGATAGACGGAACAAGGTGGACATGGCCAACATTTACTTCCATTTCTTTTTCAGCTCCTGCCATTCAATCTTTTACAATAATAAATTCTTCCTTTACACATCTCTCAGTTCATTTATAAAACTCAATTATAATTCCATTCATCCATCTTCAAAACACTTAAGGTCTGATCCAATTAAAAGATGAGGAAAGGTGGAATACATCCTTGATGGGACACTAGGCCATCGGAGACAACACACACTCAGCAGCCGTATGACCCTGCAACTCACAACTGGCAACCCACTGAAGCTAAGCAGGTGTGACCCTGGTCAGTACCTGGATGGGAGACCTCCTGGGAAAAAGTAAGGTTGCTGCTGGAAGAGGTGTTAGTGGGGCCAGCGGGGGGCGCTCACCCTGCAGTCCATGTGGGTCCTAATGCTCCAGTATAGTGAGGGGGACACTATACTGTAAACAGGTGCCGTCCTTCGGATGAGATATAAAACTAAGGTCCTGACTCTCTGTGGTCATTAAAAATCCCAGGGCGTTTCTTGAAAAGAGTAGGGGTGTAACCCCGGTGTCCTGGCCAAATTTCCCATTGGCCCTTACCAATCATGGCCTCCTACTAATCCCCATCTATGAATTGGCTTCATTACTCTGCTCTCCTCCCCACTGATAGCTGGTGTGTGGTGAGGGTTCTGGTGCACTATGGTGCACCAGGTGGATGCTGCACATTGGTGTTGGTGCACTATGGTGCACCAGGTGGATGCTGCACATTGGTGTTGGTGGAGGGGAGACCCCATTACCTGTAAAGTGCTTTGAGTGGAGTGTCCAGAAAAGCGCTATATAAGTGTAAGCAGTTATTATTATTATTATTATTATTATATCAGGGACTTTTTTGTCACAGCACATTTCTGGAGTGTGAGAGAAACTGGATCACCCTGAGGAAAACCACACAAATATGAGGATAACATACACACTCCATGCAAATAGCGCCAAGGCCCACATGCAACATGAAAACTTCATGCAATTGAACCCAGGCCACAGCACTGTGAGGCAGCAACCCTGACCACTACACCACCTTACATTTTGTTACTAATTTATTCCTGGTTTTAGTAATCTGGTCATCTCTACCATACCCCTAGCACTAGACAGTACCCTTTTTTTTATAGTTTTTATAAGTCTGACCAATCTTTTGATTCGTCTAGGTTAACTTTCTGTGCCTGAATGCTCTTGTTGAAGCATTCTAGAAGTATACTACTTTACCTCTTCCAGTTTGTCCTGTCTCTTCAGAATGCTGCTTATCCGCTAAAGATGCATTAGTCAGCATCACTCTCTCTTAGCCCCAGTTCTGACACCTGATACAGTGGCTTCTTTCAAGTAATGAGGAAATAAAAACCTTGGATCAAGCTACAGTATCTGCTAGTAAGAAAACAATCTTACTGACTTGTAAACCCCAGTTTGTTTACATGCTTCTACATGCAATTAGTTTTTCTTAACCCTTATTAAGTATCATCTGCAAATGTGATTACTTTATGTACTATTAAGCAACATAGATCACTGAATAATTAAGAGCAGTGTTACTCGTACAGATCCTTATGGTACTCCACTAATGACCATCTGTAATCTTTCTCTTATGATACAGTATTTGAGAGAAACGTACAGATAGTAGAGATCATGCTGCCAAAGGTGTACTTGGTTCCATGCAGACTCCCAAGCGCATCTACCGCACTTTTGGCTACTGCATACTGTAGAATGAGAACAAACAATATATTACTGTTAGTATTCAGGAGAACACCACTTATGAACATTCAGACTCTACCAAATTGATTGAGGCTCAATGTATTTCAGATGTTTAGCCCCCCCCTTTTCATGTTGTGATCTTTTGTTTTATATGTTTTCTGTATTAGTCGAATTATGTCATTTCATCACCAGTTCACAACTCACCAGTTCGTCCGCATCAGGGGTGGGGGTGGAGGTATACCCATATGGATACATCAGCATCTGGGAGTAGCTGTGGATAGTGACCATGGCCTTGACGTTCTTGTGACGCAGGATGAAATCCACGATGGATTTCACCTCAGACTCTGAGTGCGCAAACGGTCCCTTGTAAGTGTCATCACAAGGGTTGCTGCTGGTACCAGGACCTGATTCAGAGGAATTCGGTTGACAAATGATCCATCTGTAAATATGCACCTCTAATAATAAGGAACCATTATTGTACCTCTCTTGCATAAACTACTGAAGACACAGGTATGCAGATGTGATTTGTTGTAGTCCAGCACATGACTTCCATTAGCACCTCTTATGCATTGAGGGGATGTGGTGCTACACACATAAAACCCAAGCATGAGAAAGGACACAAGACTCAGCCAGTACTTTATAGAGCAATCAGTTACCTCTTTTGCTAGGAAATTCATTTAATTACATGCAGAAGCATGTACATTACACCATTTTACATGCTTCTACATGTAATTGGTGTTTAATAACCCTTATTTAGTATCTTCTTCCAATGTGATTAATTTATGTACTATTTTGCAACATAGATCATTGATAAGAGCAGTGGTACTAGTACCACAAGATCCTTATGGTACCCCACTAATTAATATTTCTCTAATTATTGATATGCTTATTCAATCTTTATTATTCTCCTTATGTTTATTCACCTGTAACCTCTGTTTTCTTTTTTAATAATCAATTCTCAGTCCAAAAACTCATGTTTTCCTGAATGCCTGGCTTGCAATTTAAGAATTAATATTTCATGGTGAATTTTATCAAAAATGTTCTGAATTTTCAAACGTTTTCAATTATTTCAGCGAACATTGTGAGGCACTGCTTGAACTGATGCTTTGACATAGAAAGGATACAGCTTTACAAAGTGCTGGAAATCCCATTTTCTAAATAATGTCAGGAAGCAATAAAAAACAAAATAGACCTATTAGAAAAAAAACTGAACAGCAACAACACTAGTGTTTACATTTTAGAACTTTCCTGATAGCCCAAAATCAAATATTGTGTTGTTTTGGTTATAGTGTTGTGTAAAAAGTCATTGTTCTGTTAGAGAGGTTACATAAATGTTTAAAGAATAATTTAGCCTTGAACAAGGAAGTGAAATCAAGGAATGTGATTCAGGCATTCAAAACTAGGAGTGAACAAATGGCTGTGGGTTCAACTGCATTTTACACAGAAAAAGGGGCAGCTATTGTCAGAGCTGAGATTGTTTACAACTACAGACAAGAACAGTGTAGCCCAAGGTGCTTCTCCTAATTTGTATCCCTTCGTTAGAGACATTCTATTTCTGTCAGCTAAACATTGATATAGTTTGTTTCTGCATGACAGAGTATAATGTATTGCAATTCACTGAAAAATAGAGAATTCAATGTTGCTCTTCTGGACACTAATGAGACATTCTACTTAATATAATGAAGTCTTACCTCCAAAGTTTGCATCCCAATTCCTGTTAGGATCAACTCCAATGCAAGAGGATCCAGAACTGATTGACCTTGTCTTGCGCCACATGCGATTCTATTGGAGGGATAAAGGATATGCACACTGCTTACTGGATTAAACCTGTATTTACGGTATGAATCCATATGAAGGGAATGCAATCATTTGTGCATGAAATATAATTTAACTTCCATATACTAACTTTTAAATCGCCTTTTTTTTCAGGAATGTATATATAGTATGGTTCAGTCATTTTAGTTACACAGTAACTATAACAGGACAAAGTAATACTACCCTTGCTCTAAAAATGCACACATAAGAACAGATTCCATTTGACCCCATCTAGCTCATTTGAGTTTTAGAAGCTAACTGATATGAGTATCTCAACCATGCCTTTATTGAAAAAAGCCAGAATGTCACCTTCCACAACATTAAGCTTGTTCCAGACTCCCACAAACCAGCTCCCGTTGTTTTCCGTTTAAAAGCATGCCTCCGATTTGCATTAGAAACAATGCAAAATAAATAACATAAATAAAAAAATCAAGAAATAGTGCATTTAATATATACACCAACAAAATAAGCAAATCAACCATCAGTTCAAGTACAGTAGGTAGCTGCGACAGCAAGCGTAGGCTGCAAAAGAACAGGTAAAGGTTTAGTCCATGCTGAAAAGAAATGAGACAATGTTTAGGCTGTGGAGCCTTCTTCAGGTGTATCCTGAATAAGATACAGTATGCACACACCTGAAGAAGGCTCCACAACTGAAACATTGTGTCTCTTTTCTTTTCCTTTCATCATTGGATAAACCTTTACCTGTCCCTAATCAGCTAATCAGTGTCCATTTTACACATTTTTTGCTTGTTGGCTGTACTTGACTTCACCACTTTGCAGTTTTGCATCTAACAACTGGGCAGAAGAAATTGTTGTTTGAAGAAAAGAAAATTACTTTTCACTGTGTACCTTGAGACTATGGAATGCAAGAACCACAATCCACAGTTAAGTCTTGAAAAGTGAAAACGTTTCTTAAGCGGACATATTGAGTAATTCAAATTGCCTAAGACCTGTAGGATGAAGTGAGACCACCAAGTAACGAACTGTGTTGTGAAATGTTATCTATTCATTTTGTTGTTGTGAAACTCAGAATCACTATCTTTGGGTTTTTTTCTTTAAATCTACAAGAACATACATTTACAAACCAGTTGAGCCCAGGGTCTGTGCTAAATATTCCATATGACACCTGCTCTTGAAGAAAGGTATTTTCCCTGCAGTGATCAAGCACAGTCTTGATCTTTCATTACACAGCAGACTTCTAGGGGCCAAATCAACTCCTGGCACCAAGGAGCACTTACTGTCGTGTGTGTGAAGGTGTACCCATCAGGATTAGTGACAATCTCAAAAAAGATGTCCATTTTGTTCAATATTGCTGTTAATGAAGGGTCCTGCCCATATTCCTGAGCAATCTGAAAACACAAATTGACAGGAAGAAGACATTGATATATTTTATGAGTGAATGGGTGGAGATACTGGCGATTCCTTCTTTCTGTTTGTTCATGTTTAATAAAATGTAAAACACTAATACATAGTAATACACTGCAGTAAAAGTGAATTAATTTTACTCCTACACTACAGTATAAAAGCTGTCACTTTTGATAAAAGCTCCTGCTAATTGGCTTTTTAGATTATCGTTACGAGCCACCTTTCTCCTCTTGTACAGCTGTTCAGCGTTCTTAAATAACTGGCAACAGTACAATAAATTCAACCAAACATTAGCTTTTCTTTTCAGGAGTATTAAACACTTCACACAAAAACTTCATTCCATCCTTTTAATCTTTGTGCAGGGGTTTGCAGCATAAATACTACAGCACACATCTGTTTTTCAGCTTAAACTATGAATTGGCTACATTACTCTCCTCCCCCACTGATAGCTGATGTGTGGTGAGCGTTCTGGCGCACTATGGCTGCCGTCGCATCATCCAGGTGGATGCTGCACATTGGTGGTGGTGGAGTGGAGTCCCCATTACCTGTAAAGCGCTTTGAGTGGAGTGTCCAGAAAAGTGCTATATAAGTGTAAGCAATTATTATTATTATTATTATTATTATTATTATTATTAAAAACTAAATGGAGAGAAAGCATTAACTTTTGCACCGTAAAGCTAAGCATACTAAACATGAACAGCTGAATGCATGATAGACTCAAACGTTTTTTTATTTATTTTACCTTCTTTGCTGTCCACATTCCTGTGGCTGGAGTGATCCATTCACGAGCATGAATGCCAGTGTCAAGCCAGATTGCAGGACGATTAGTACCTCCTGTGCTGAACTGCAGACGATGTTACAAAACATCATGGATACATGAAATACAATGTAACAAAACAAAGGCAAGCACCCATGCTGCCTTAATATTCATGCACTTGACCTAGTGTCACCTAACCCTTGTTTGAGCACTAAGACTACTACAGTATATGCTTTCTGTGTCATTTGTATGTTGATATATTTAGCAAATTTGCTTTCGACAGCAAAAAAAACCTTGATGTTTGCAAAAGCATTTATAAATTGGCAAGGGGTTTACTGTACAGTACCTTCAGTACATGAATTGGCCGCTTCTCATAGCTGGAGCCAATTGTGAGCTTGGAGACTAAGTCTGGAAACTCAGCTATAAGACTGTCCATCCAACTGTAGATCTGCAAAGAAAAATCAACTCAACTGCCATTTTTTTTTTCTTGGGTGACATTGTCATTGTACTTCCACAAATACACACAACTCCTTTGGATTGTGCCTGGGTATGACTGTATTGACAGTGTTGTAAATCATACCCTCACTTTCCTCAACAAAGGCTATGTCAAATATCAAAGACCTTTAGTATTACTAAGTTTTATACTGACACACAAATATCAAAAACTCATCCTCATCATATTTTTACTACAAAAATATGTTCACATTTCAATAACTCTTTATCCTCTTCTGGCTCTTCCCCCTGTTTATTCCCAGAGACAGTGACAATATCAATAATAGCAATGCCACCAGCATTATTATAGCAGTATTAACGCCCTAGCTGTAACAATATTAAATGTATGGTTTTCACCTCTTCTAGAGTATGGTAGGAAGAGTAGTCAAAGCTGTCAGTATTTCTTTGCCTTTGGCGAGAATGATTCATTTCTTCCATCTCACTGTCTAGAAGAACCTTTGAAAATATTAATTAGAAGATATTATATTACTATGATGATTAACATCAGCGCACAAGAAGTAACATCTGTATCTACACCTTTCTAACAGATATACTGGCACATATTTATTGAAAAACAATTGGAATTATATTTTTTAGATTATCATGGAGCTACTTTTATATTGCCAGCAGCCATATCACCCTGCAACTCACATCTAGTGACCCACTGAGGCTCAGCGGGTGTGACCCTGGTCAGTACCTGGATGGGAGACCTCCTGGGAAAAACTAAGGTTGCTGCTGGAAGAAGTGTTAGTGGGGCCAGCAGGGGGTGCTCATTCTGTGGTCTATGTGGGTCCTAATGCCTCAGTATAGTGACAGGGACACTATACTGTAAAACAGAGGTCCTGACTCTCTCTGGTCATTAAACGTCTCAGAGTGTTTCTCAAAAAAAGTAGGGGAGTTACCTGACATCCTGGCTAAATTTCCCATTTGCCTTTACCGATCATGGCCTCCTAATAATCCCCATCTATGAATTAGCTTTATAGCTCTGTTCTCCTCCCCACTAACAGCTGATGTTTAGTGAGCATTCTGGTGCACTTTGGCTGCTGTTGCATCATCCAGGTGGATGCTACACATTGGTGGTGGTGGTGGGGAGTCCCCATTACTTGTATAGTGTTTTGAGTGGAGTGTCCAGAAAAGCGCTATATAAGTGTTTCCATTCAGAGTCACAGGGGAGCCAAAGCCTATCCCAAAATGTACTGTAACAAGCACAAGGAGGGACACAGCCTGGACAGGATGTCAGCCAACCACAGGGAACTCATAGACACATACAGTACATGCACAAACCTACAGCAGAGACACTTTTCCCAGAAGCCAGTTAATCTAAATCCAAATTTGAAATATATTTTTCTTCTGCTTCATTGAAGAACCCACAAGATTGTATTCCTAATGATACTTTAATGGTGTTGTTGCTAATGGTACTTTGTCAAATAACACTCAAGCAGCATCCACTACACCTGGAGATTGTCGATCATGACGTCATACTGGATACCATGTGACTGCAGGAAGACTCTCACAGGCTGAAGACTGGCAAAGGGAACTCGGACATCAACAGACAGAGAAGGCCTCACTGGCTCTCTCCAGAAGTCAAGCTGCACCAGGGTTTTTAAAGAAAAAAAAAACATTTGACAAAGGAGAAACTCTAGGAGAATGGTTCCTGTGAATAGCTTACAGTAAGGCATGCATGCTGTAAAATAGCATAACACTTTCACCCTATTTAACGATCATTTTAGCCCCATCTGCTGAATCCTGGCACTTTCAGATTGTTTTGGTCTTGCAGGATTTGTCCATGATCCAGGTCATTACAAAGGTCACGTCACAGCTTTAGTCTGAAAGAACCTATCTGACTAAAATCAAATTCTTCTTTTCGACATGGAAATTCATGTCTATCACCTTATGCCTTTATTGTCTGTAATCATTCTCTGTCGATGATCAATCACATAATGGTTTCTAATTCTGCTCTTTCTTCACTATCTTGCATTTGAGGTGTAGCTCAATATGTAGGTCCCTTTTAAAACTCATTACATCTAACCTGTCTTATTTTGGCTTAACATATTAGAAAGGACTGTTGAGGTTTAACTGATTTCACTGTAACCAAGCTTGTCAAAACTTTTGAATCTTATTTCAGACAATTAGACTGTATGACTGAAACTGCTAAAAAAGTTAAGATTTCGAATAATCTCTCTGTGGCAGTTATTCAGTTCTTTTTATCTCAATTATCTTAGAGTTACAAATGCTGTTAATCATCATTTTCTGATTACTATGTGTTTGTTTGGCATCAGTTTGTACTGCCTGTAAGCACTTTAAATCTTACCAAGCTGTAAATCAATTTTATTTCACTTGGTAGTTTTAGTTTTGAAGATGTATTAGTTGTATATTCCTGGTGTTCCACAGGGATCAATATAAAGTGCTGTTATTTAGTATTTATACATAAGGCAGACAACCATACCAGAAGTCTCTGAATGCCTTTCCGTTATATAAGATTGGATAACACATAATGCATCATGTACTCTCTGTGTGTCCATAACAGTTGTTGCTACAGTAGTTCAGAGATTATCTCCAGTACATCACTGTACTTTAGCAAGGTCTGTCTTTTCTAAAACCGTGCTGATTATTTCTTGGTATCCTATTTTTTAGGAAATTAACCTCCAATTCAGTTCTAATGACCCTATTCATACACTTACACATATTAGAAGTAAGAACTATTGGTTTACAATAATACACTGAGTCTCCTTCCTCAGCCCAAGGCACAATGTAAGTGGTCAGGACTGTTGTGTTTAACAAGATATTTTGGTATTTATGAAAGTGAGAGGAAGAAAAGGAAAGAAAGATCAGCTCTAGGTTCTTACCTCTAGATGCTCAAGCCCCTGCAGCTCCTGGAGGAGAGCAATTTGTTCATGACTCTCAGCCGTTATGCGAAGCACTTGGTCCCTGAAGATACACCATCACAGTAAGCACGCGTGGAAGGCATTTTAAAAACAACGGAACGACTCATTTATTTTTTGTCCGTTATCAGTTTGCGTCCTAGTTGTACTGCGCTTGCCTCTGACTCCTCCTTGTGGACAGACTAAACAACCACGCAAATTCCTAAGTGGTACTACTGTATTTCCAAAAAACAAACTACCACCGAGCAAAGGAAATGCCGTTACTGCTATACAGACTAGATATGTGAAATTAGTTTATAAACAAAGAAGATTGTGAAAATAATACTCAGAATTTTTAAACAAAGAAAACTTTAACGAGCGTGGCTTTATTTCATTTTCTTTTATAGAGAACTAACGGCAAGTCTTACCCAATGAACAGCTTTTGGCTTACAGCAGCCACAACAAGGCTACACAGAATCATAAAAGACTTCATCCTCTTCGTGTAAACGGAATTAACTGCTTTCGGCTTTTATGCATTTCGTTATCGACATTTTTCAAGGTTGTAGTCTGAACTGTCACTTTTGTTTGTGGGAATTCCCACACTTTCAATGAATTATTTACAAACGGCACTCGGCGCAGCTGAATTGCTATCATTTGTAGCATGTGGGCGTTGTTTTTTAATAAATGGGGTTGTTTGTAACAGGTTGCTTGTACCGCCATGAACCTCAAAAGTAATTTGCATCCATAGCAAATTAAAACAGACCAGTAGTTTACCGAGATGCTACAAAAATGCTTATTTTACACATCACATGCTTTTTGGATAATACTTCATAAAGCACCACTGTATGTTATAATACTTGAGGACTGCTATTTCCTCCAAGAAGGCCCATGGCCGTCTCGTGTAAAAAAGGAAACTGAGCTATTCAGGGCGTTTGTCAACACAAAACTACACTTTACTCAGAAAATGAACCACACTTCCTTCCTTGAAGATTAGTCTTCTGTATTTTAAAATACTAGTGTTACCTCGGTCTGGAAAGAACAATCAAAATGAACATTTTGGGATACGAAATGACAGAAAATAACCCTACAGTGTGAATGCTGTCATTAGTATTGCATTAATTTATTTCTGATCCTTGCTGGAGTCAACCAGCTCCATGAATAGTTATCTTTTTTTAAATCAAGCTTGCTTACGTTTGAGTGCGTATTGGTTGTTATGCTGCTTGCTGGGAAATCTTTAGTTTAATAATCCCGTAATAATTCCCTTGTTTTTACCTGACAAAAACGGCAAAAACGGAGAATATTAATTCGTTAAATTAAAATACTTAAGTAGGAATATTACTCGATCTTTTTTCATCAGACCCAAGAAAGAACCATTAGGAACTCATTTTTAATTAACGATATTTTAGGAACATGTTTTAAGTCACACACCATCGATTCCAGAAGTAACTAAAATGATAAGAGTGAAGAACATCAAAAGCTCGAAAAACAAAAAACAAAAAGAGCAGCACTGGCTTTTGAGCATCCGTCTTCTCCACGATACTACTGTACTACACCGTGACCATTTTTTTAAAAATACTTTAAAAAAATCGTAATTTCCCGTTACATATAATTGGTATAGGCACACCACATATCGAATACGGTACAGGAAAGTTATCACTTGTTCTCCCTGCAAATACCTAGAAATGTGAGTTTAATCAGGAATTTTTAGCTACTGCAGCAGCCTCTACCCCTCAACCTTCTGCACGAACTATCCCTGCATGCTTAAAACGTGGGACGACTTTTGGCTTTGATTGGTGTGTCTACTCTCCTCCAGAGAGTTGTGATTTGCAGGTCTTTGCTCCAGTGCCCGCGGTCAATTACTATTGGTTTAGAGTGGGAGATCGGAATGAGATAGCGGAAGTCCTTTTTCAGAAACAATGAAGCAGCATATGTGCTCCGGGTGATCCTTCACTACAATTACCAGGCGTGAGATTCGCTGTTCAAAGCCGATTGAAAACAGAGAGTTTTTTTTTTAAACCCGCTTTCCATTGTTTATCCTACGACCGTTTACCGACTCCACAGAAAGCGTCAAGAACTGAAGCATGGAAGTGGAAAAAGAGATTAAAAAGGTATGTCTGTCTTTGAATAAGGGTCCGATCAGCCGAAATCCGTCAACGCCCAAAGGTGTCCTGTCACCTCAATTCCCTAAACATACTTTGGGGTCCCAAGAAAATAATTACAATAGTTTTCTAAAAGTTCGACGTGCTGTTTGAGGATGGTGTTAGGAAAAAAAAAAGATTTTTACCAGTTTTACATTAAAAGACACTGTCCCGGGTTTAGAAAATTTCGTTAACGTCTGATTTATTAAGAATACTCTTTGAATATTAAGACTTTTTGTCCGTAAACCATTAGTGAAAGATATTATATAGCAGTACTACTGAGCACGTTTAGAATGACACATTACTAGCAAAAGGATTATAATGCGAGATGAATCTTGTAGGAACTCAGCCTTAACGTCTTGCATTTGGAGAAAAAAGTTTTTGATCCACAGCACTTCTTCGTAATCTAATGCTGAATCCCTTAGTACTGAGAAAATCATCAGACTCTTCCTGTTTAATTTACAATATTTACACAAAGAAAGTAGAATTTACAGCAATCAGTTGCTCTAATCCAATGACCTTTCTGTTGTTAAGGTATCCTTGGTATTTATAAATATTGTGGGAAACATATATTAGTGCACGACGTAATGCACTCGCTCTTCAAACATATATGAATATGTCTTGATACATATTTCGTGAATTTATGTTGGTGTGGTGCGGTGGCATCGTTGACATTTAACGAGACGACAGACGAAATTACAGTACTTTATTTTAACCTAGACATCACTGACACGGAGCAGCTGTTTCCCGTTTCCTCAAGTTCATCATTTTAATGGAGCTTTTGGCAGGGCATCTTAAGCCAAAACAGTCGGGCCTACTTCCAGCTCCATGTCTGTAAATTGTGGTATAGAGATGCAAAACCCCTTAGAAACCGTACGGCAATATTTGGTCATGTCACGCTGTGCGCTTGTTTGTACTATTCAACAGCAAGAAGCCTCCTTCACGCTCGGATGGTTTTAAAAGTGTTGAGTTGTCGAGTGCCGTTTAATTAAAGCTCGGTTTATAACTACACTCGTACACATAATGTGTTTGATTATCTGCCGTGAATTTAACTCTTCTTATCTACTCTAAACATTCTATTGAAGACTGTTTTTTTTTTGGAAGGCAATTATTCATGAACTCTCACACAGACCGGTCCGTTCAGGTTACTGTATTCCGCCTTGTGCCCGCGTCTGTCTAGGTTCCGGCTTGGCAGTGCAACAGGGATGGATGGTTTACTCCTGTGGAATTTTCTTTGTGCTTATGTTCTTGGTGGTGATAACAGTTCTTGTGTTTATTTTACAAGATGATTCTCAACAGAATAATAAGTGTTCCTGTTCCTTGTTTCTGGGTGAGTAGCACCTTATCAGAAAGTAAAAAAATGTCACTGTTATGTACTTATTGGGTGTGTGATACAGCACTTGGAGAAGGAGTTTGAATGTAATAGTGAGCAGCATGGATAGTTTAATGCCATAAAAAGTGCAAGCTTCACGTCATTACGTCAATGTATGTTAGCAAGGATTTATTGCAGATAGTACTATGCATCAATTAGAGTTTTAAAATTGAGCTCTGGAGGAGGTCAAAATCTAATCCAATAGGCAAACTTCCTCCCAATCACATATAAATATCACACTGCTTACTCATTTATGTGTTTCATTTTCACATCCCTCTCTCCACCCTATTCTTGCCCTTACAGTCTTCTCTGACTCAGCTCTCATTAAAGAGGGGGTCTGATCTCCATGGTTATTCTCCTTAACCAGTTACTCTGAAATGGGTCTTGGTTTCCTGGCTGACTAGCTGTTTGAGGGGACTTAATTTTGTGCGAGTTTTAAATGTTAAGACTCCTAGATTGGTGTCTGAAAGATCCTCTCTGTGTCTGGGAAGGGCTTCTAGGGGAATGATGGCCATATTTCAGGTATAAAGAACAGACAAAGTGGTAACTGCAGCTACTACAGTCCAGCAGAGATCTATTGTATTGTTGAAGGCTTATGATTCTGTCCCACTCACTGCCAAAGTGAGCACTGGTTTTGAGTAGTGTCAGTCTTAATGTAGTGCATGCTCTTTGCAGAGCTTTGCTTTTTAAAAATGAAGTCAAAGCCTGCATTCCTCAGTAGTGTTGGCCTGCACTCCTTCAGGATTGTGCTATAGTCCCTCTGCAGATTTGCCAAATCTCTTTTCTGAGAATTGAGAGGTCCGTGCTCCATTTCTGTTGGAGTTTTTTTTTCACAACATGAAATACTTGACTATATATGGACTAAAGCTGCTGCAGTTCGCTAAGGATACTGCTAACGTGCAAACTTATGTCGCAAGTTCAAGGACATAACAAATGATATCACCGAGTCACAGTGAAGAAGCGCTGACGATGATCTGGTGTTTTACAAAACAATATTTCTCTTTGTTGATATTCGGACAGGTATTATAGACATGACCCTAAATATACAAATGATTGAAAAGTCCAGAATATTTACACCGTAAATGTAAAAAGGTCTTTACAATGAGGTAAAAAGGGGCAAGGTAAAAGTCATGCTTTTATTATCTTTTTCTGTGAATATGGGTTGCATATGTGAAACAGTGGAAACTGAGGCAGTGCATTAAAATGGAGAACAGGAGGCCCTTCTTTATGCAAAGGCTTATGGGAGTAGGCAACCAGCTGTCCAACCTTGTTGTGAAAACCCATACCCTGGCATCTTTCAAGGAATGTCGGATTAAATTCCTCAGATCAATTAGCTACAGTATGGCAGCTTCTTGTTTGTAACCTCTCTTATGTTCTAATGTTTGTGATAACGGAGCAGGTGGCCTTAAATGCACTAATTGATCTTTACAATGCTGACATGGATCATGTCGTTTTCTATTTCCTTCTGATCAGACGCTGAACTGCAACGTCAGGAACCACATTCTGCTGTTCTGTCCAGCTTGCATTGATGCAATGAATGATGTGTCTGTGAAACTGATTTTCAGTGCTTTTCACAGTTTTGTTTTGTCCACAGTTGACCTTGGGCCATGAAGTAGGGTCAGGAGCTCCGTGTTTGAAATGCAAAGATAAATGTGAAGGTTTCGAACTTCATTTCTGGAGGTTTGTACTGATGTTTTTTTTTAATGCACAAATATAACAGCAACTGTTTATTTTATACTGATGGAAAGAAGAAACACAACACCTCCTCCTCCACACCCTGGCCCTCCTGTCTGCGTGGAACAGGCTGAAGAGGGCCTCTGACAGGTTGCCTTGCTATAAGGCCAGCAGCATGGAGCTTCACTGTCCTGTTACTGATGCGGGCATTGTGTCTACCGGCAGTTTCAGCAGCAGTACGGGTGGCAGATCTGAAATGATCTCTCAGATGGAGCAGTCTGATGTGTCGGTCCTGCTTTGGTGTGGTCACTTGAGGGTGACCGGATCTTGGACGGCCATCTGTCCTGCTGGTCTGCTGAAACCTTCTCTGTAGTTTGGACACAGTGGAGCAGCTCACTCCATAGTGTCTGGCAACGCTGGCACATGACATGCCTGCCTGCACCATGCCAATGGCCCTCTCCCTTGCTTCTGGTGACATTGGAGGCATTATGGAATGCGCAGAAAACTGACTAAGTGTGGCCTTTTTCTTGCAGTGACCTAAGCTTTGAATTAAGGCCTTTTTAAGTGGACCTGTTCAGGCATTGTTCCACCTGGACCTCGTGGGTAAAAGTGCACCTAACGAGCTTTCGTGTGCTTGGCAAGTTGCAATGCCTCACTGCACAAGCTGTATTGCTGGTCAGAGGGCTTAAAACAACTTGACATCTTTTTGTGAAAGTACATAAGCTATAATTTTAGTATTCTCATTCCAGAAAATGTTGCGTTTCATTTTTCCATCACTATATATTATTTCGAAAGAGAAGATGTGGTGGCTGGTTGTGGGTTTTATCATTTAGAGATGTGTTGAATTTGGACTAATTTTGTGATAATCACATTGGGTGAATGAATATGCATGGTTATTCAGAGGCTTGGATATGAGTGTTTTTTATTCAGCTGCCATAAAAATTTTTACAGGTCTTTTAGAAAATTTAAAGTCAGAAGCTCTTTCTTATGCCTCCAAACACTAAGTAGCATTGGGGGATTATTGCAATACCCCTGCATTATTGTAATGCTCCTGTATTATTTCAGTGCCCCTGGAACCTTTCAGAGGCAATTCAGGCTTTTCTAAACTTGCTGATAAAGGGTCATTTAAATTATATTTTCCAACCTACAGCTATTTAAGGTTTGTATGCCTGTTACTACTCCGTTTCTTTACCCTAGTTCCTCTGATAAAGAGAACTCTAAATAACCTTTATCTGCTACTGCATTGTACATACTTTAGCTCTTATGGCCTTGTACACCGGATAAAAACTATATGTTGTTTTTCCTGCATTTGTCTGAAACAGAAGTAATCATATTGGGGAAAAAAACACAGCAGTTACCATATTGTTCTCCAACCAGTCCCTGTTGTAAACATTCACAGTGAATCACTTTATTGCCGTTCTGAAGAAAAAGGAGTGTATTTTCCATTTAGTAATAACCTTTAGCCATTGGTCTGACAATCCCAGTTAACATATTAACTTATTAAATGTAAGTGTGAACTGGCTAATTCACGTCTCAATTGTCTTTGTTTTGGCTCTGATATTTCTGTGTGTTTTATTGTCTCCAAGCTATGTCAGCAGTGCTCTCTTTCTGTGCACAGTTAAAAAAGCCTCAGAAAGTTTAGGGTTATACTTGTTTTTTTCATCTTTGAATATGTTCTCTTTTCTGTTTTCTGTCAAGGTTAAAATGAAAACTGTACATTTTTAGCAGTCCTCCCTTTACAGAGGTAAACAGTGGAATATTCTTACACCATTTCAAATTTTCTGTGTGTTTCAGTTTTAGCTTGGCTTTTCAAGTCCCCACATGTAGTGAATTTGCAAGGGGATAAAGTAATGTCTCATATGCAGTCAGGTTGAGGCATGATGTGCTGTTTAGTCGAGCCTAGTATTAAGCCTTTCAGGGTCGTGATTTGCTCATAACATTCCACCCCCCACACTTGCTGACCTAATTCTATGGCATGGATTAGCAGAAGTAATAAAGTGCTTCATTTATTACACAGTACAGCCAGCGAAAATTGTTATTAGGTACATCTGATACTAAATGTGCTAAATTTGAAGAAAGCTGGTAAGTGCTAAAATCCACTGGTTGTGTGGGGTTGTTGAATATCAGACAGTTCTGATATTCTGTGAATATTGAAGAAAAGCTTTTAAAAAGGTTAAAAGAGTGAGAGGTAATGAAACTTCAATCCATATATGAGTCTGGTGAAATAAGTGAACAGGCACTCACAATCTCCTACAGTAGCATAAGAATGTGCTAAGTGGACTTTTGCCTTTAGATTTTTTTTGCCTCTTTAAATGGGTTTGTCATGATCTGTAAGCGAGGACATTGGCCTTGGCTGACGGTGTTGTGCTAAATGCGCAGGAAAGTTTGTCGCAACTGCAAGTGTGGCCTTGAGGACCACGATGTGCAGACGGGCTCGGCGGAGGACAAGAAGGTGGGCAAGCTCCTGGAGGACACCAAGTACACCACCCTGATCGCCAAGCTGAAGACTGACGGGGTGCCCCAGTACAGGCGGAACATGGTCACGCTCACCAACGCTGTGCCAGCCAAGAAGGATGTGGACATCAAGTCTGTGACCTACGAGTGGGCTCCCCCAGTGGCTAATCAGAGCCTGGTAAGCCACATCTGCTGAGTAGCCCCAGCCTTCGCAAGTGATCTGTGCTGGAGGGGAGGAGTGAACGATCTGTTTGCCTGTCACTTATTGTAGCTTTATGAGTAATTCTTTTGGTTTGTAATGAGTATCAGGAAGAAAGAGGTGTTTTTTTTTGTCTTTCGGCAGGTTTTTTTTTTTGGTAGATTAGATAAGGAGAAGTCTGTAGGTTTAAGTCGTTGAGTTCACTCAGGGAGCTGAGGACCTGCGCTGGATACTGAGCGTGTTTTCTTCAGTGGTCTCTAGTAGCATGTTGGCATTATGGATTTTTAATCTCTTTAGGTAGAAAACTATCAAATTATAGGCATAATTTGCCTTTTTTTATTTTCAATGTTACTTACAAAAAGGTGCTCCATGTACTCAACTTTCCACAGGACTTTAGATCTAGAATGTATATCAAGGATTTTTGAATGTTTTTCTGTTGTTCTATGTGCAGCTGTACAACATTCTAAGCAGAAAATTATTTGTTTTAAATAAGTGCAAGAACTGATATTGCAGTTTTAGGTAATTGATCAGACATATTTACTTTGCATATGTTTTTGACATTATTTTGCAGCCCAGCAGAACTACATTTAAAGTTTTTAACATTTTTGCATAGTGGAGGACATAGTTTATATTGAAGGGCATTCCTAGCACATTAAGGCATCAGTTTAAAAATAACTTATTGGTATAAACAGGACATTTTTGTTTTTAAATATTCTATTTTTTTGTTTTACTATTGTTTTTGTTTTTTTGAAGTACTCTTCATAAAGGTGTGTGTGTGTAGGGAAAACCACACTTCATATAAAAGTGCATAAGATTATGTCTTGAGGATTAACTAAAATTATTTACTTCCTAGACCACGCGGTCTGTGCTTGTTGCATATTTTATTAAGATTCCGTTTCTTTTCAGCTCGGTGTAAATAAAACGTTTCTAATCAAACAGTTTCTGAAAAGGCTTCCCAAGCAAGGTTTTTGGAACTTGTGCTAGGGAGGTAAATTGGAATCCACAATGTTCTGTACCCATATGAACCTGAGCTGGTGTAACACTTATATTCTTCCTCCCCTCATTTCCTCTTATTCAATTGATGAAATTTACTGCCCTCACAAAGGTTTTTTTTTTAGGAAAACAATCTCTGTAGAAAAAAGCACTGAAAATGTCTGGGCTTATTAAACGGTATATAATTTGCACAAACTGCTCTTTTTATAGAATATTATTAGGGAGTGACTCAGGAACAGACTGCCTAGCCACAGGTGAAGAGAACTTCAGGTGGAATCCCGCACGGTTTGTCCTAATGGGTGTTAAATCCCTGCTTCCAGGCTATGCGCTACATTGAGATGCTCCCGAAGGAAAAGCAGCCTGTGGTGGGCACTGAGGGCGCAGCCTACCGTAAAAAACAGATGGCCAAGCAACTGCCTGAACATGATCAGGACCCGTCGAAATGCCACGAATTGTCCCCCAACGAGGTGAAGCAGATGCAGCAGTACGTCAAGAAGTACAAGGAGGAAGCGCTGGGAGTTGGAGACGTGGCGCTGCCCGAGGAGATGGAGGCACAGGCCGGGGAGAAGGGCCCCCGCGAGGCCGGGGACAGGAGCACCACAACATCCGCGGGAGCCATGGGGGCGAAGAGAGCTCCCCGGAAGGGCGCCGCGTATGTAAGTCTGCTTACCAGCCGCCAGGACAAAACATATAGGGCTGACAGACAAGTGAGTTCTAAAAAAAGCTGGGATTGGAATGTAGATTCGGGCAGTGATTTGGGCTTGACTGGTGTAAGTCTTCCTTTGCTAAGTCTTCTAATATCTCTCCTGCTTTTTCTTAACAAGTGTTACATTGTTGTCTCACACAGCATCTGTGTTTTATGTTTCTAACTCCTTTTCCAGTTTGCTGTCAAACACACAGTCGTTAATTGTTCCACATGAAGTGGAGGAGTCTTGCTCAAGTCTTCGTAATTGCATATTGGTAGTTGTTGATCAAAGCTTTGCGTAAGTCACAAACAAATGACTGGGAAGTTATAGAACAGTTTATACGGTTCAATAGTTTAAACTTTTAATCGTGATAGGATTATTTTATGTTCTGGGATTATTTGTAATATTGGCATTCATGGCGGTGCACAGGGATCTTACTCCCTTGCCATTTAATTTTCTAATTCAACCATATTCTTTTGAAGTCCTTTTGTTATTACTGCACAATATCATTTTTATTTTGATTGGCTGTTGCATGATATATTATTAAAATATAGGTTATAATTAAATGAAGGCTTTTGGTATTGTAAGTAAAATCAACTGTGTATGCCAGACATATGCACTACATTTTTATGCAGTTAAAATATCTAATACCGTTATTCAGCTTCACACCCAAAATACGACATTCATATTGTTTCTTATCTTGCTTGTTGAATTTTTTTTAGATTAGTAAAAAAAACTGGTCTGTTGGATGTAGCAATTCAGGAAATTACTTCTTTACACCCTCATATAGTCTCTCCTCCTTGCTAATCTGTTACATCAGCTTCTTATTTCCTCACTGTGATAGTGCTCTGTCCTGTTCACCTTTCTGAGTTTCAGTATAATGCAGCTATGTTTTGAAAGAGCAACATGTAGTAGAATTCATCCAAAGGCAGGGTTATGCGTACATGACTAAAGTGACTGGGATCAAAGTTCATTGTACTGCTTTCACATAGGTCAGGCCCGTGACTCCCAAGAACAGTGTACACAACACATCAAACTTCATTCAAGGCCTTTTTACTTTTCATGTCAGTCTCTTCTGACTTGAGCCTGCATGTGTAACTCTGGCTGTAATTCGAGTTGTGTAATGACCATGTGTGGATTCAACTATATATTAAGTGCTTTCAGATGACTCTGAATAAAAATCAATTATTATTATAACAATAATACTTTATCTCTCATTAATCGCACTCTTCTTATAACACTTTTAGTGTTCTTCTAATATTTTGAGTCACTGAAATATCAAACTTAACACTAAGTTCATTTCAATGCAGTGTTGCACAGTATGCATATATAAGCCTTTCCTGTATGACGGAGGGATATTTGGCACTGGCCGTTCATTTTTTCTGTAAAGCAGCATGAACATCACTGCGAAAAATAAAAACAGGGACCTTACAAGTTGATGTATTTGAAGTGTATTAGGTGTACGGTTATCTTTTTAAAGCTACTTCATCTGGGAATCTTAAAATTACAAACAGTGTCTTACGAGCATTTATCGGTAACTTTGAAGTGCCAGTTTGTAGTTAAGTTAACCTTGAGGTTCGAAGTGTAATTTACATTTCAGTGCTTTGCACAGGAAATGAGCAGGAGTTCACGGCAATATTGCAGTGTGCTGTAAAAAACTAACCACTAGAGGGGGCCCTTTTCCACATTAATTAAAACAAATTGTCATCTTTAATGAAAGCGTTTAAATTGTTTTACATTTACATTACAAAGAAGAGATTTTGCAATATTTTAGCAACATAGCATACCTAAATAGTGGTGGATAATTCTGAAGCATGTAAAAGTAACCAAGGCATCCAGTAAGCCTTTTAATTGACCACTAGCAGAAGATTTCCTTTCAGGCATTTCTAACTGTATAGTCTCGTTGCATGATGTGAAACTGTAGCCCTATAGAACCAGAGTTGGGTATTCCTGTAATTTCCTTCACTTTCACCAATTGCTTGATCCTTTTGAAAGGGAAAAAATGTGTTGTCAAGTGGGTTTTTTTCCGGATGATCTGCGGTTCTTGAACAGCGCCAAGACAATGTGTTCTCTGTGTCCCCCGCGACAGTCGTGTCACCGCTGCCAGCTCGACATGAGGGAAGGCGACCCTGCAGTGTACGCGGAGCGCGCTGGCTACGACAAGCTATGGCACCCGGCCTGTTTCGTGTGCAGCACCTGCACCGAGCTGCTGGTCGACATGATCTACTTCTGGAAGAACAACCAGCTGTACTGCGGCCGTCACTATGGCGACAGCGAGAAGCCGCGCTGCGGCGGCTGTGATGAGGTCTGGCATTTGGAAGCGTGCTCTTACTCTTGCGCCATCTATTTCCGCGCTTCGAAGTGTGCAGTAGGGGCTCGGCGGCAGGGAGGAGCGCATTCACTAGTTGGGTTCGTCTCATGACGCCCGTCTGTTAAACCGCTAATCTGAAAATTGCGGTCAAGAACCTTCAGCTCGGTCTCATCTCCCCCTGCCTCCCTTTGCTTAAGGCCCCGTCAGCCAGACCGAATCGCCAATAGGCAAATTCGTGAATGCTAAAATTCCCCAATGTCGAGACCCCGCTGTACAGTACCCAGCTGGAGCTGGGTTTTGCAATTCGTACAGTGAATGGAATATGCCCTGGGAATGAGGTTTCTGCCGTCTGCCATTGATTCCTCTCATTGCTGCCGTGCCAGGCCGCGCTAATTATGTGAATACCACCACTACAGAGAAACAGCTGCAGATACCGCTTGTGAAGCTATTTACCAGTTGCTTTGCTTTGGCCTCAGTGATCGAAGGACTAAGCTCTAGTGTTGAACTCTGATTTTGTACACTTGTGGGCCTTTCTTTCATGTCTCTCGCAGCTGATATTTAGCAACGAGTACACCCAGGCGGAGGGCCAGAACTGGCACCTGAAACATTTCTGCTGCTTTGACTGTGACTGTGTCCTGGCTGGAGAGACGTACGTCATGGTGAATGAGAAGCCTGTGTGCAGACCCTGCTACATGAAGAGCCATGCTGCGGTAATGATTGTTTCTGGAATGTGCTAGAATTTACTGTCCACGAATGTTTAATACTTTGCAAGTCAACAGAATGAAATAAGTACCATTCCTTACTTCTGAAACTCAGGGTCTAAAATTGGTTGCGAGGCCCAGTTGAGCATTTTATCTTTGTATGAAAGTCTCAATTGTAAAAGGGAAATACGTGAAGATTTTAATGCCTATAATTGAATATTGAGGCCGTATAAAGAAAAGTAGTGCCTCGCTGCAGTTTCTACGACAGCTTTAACATTTTAAATTAATGTATTCACCTCACTACCTCACCTCACGCTGTTCTCAGATTCTAATGTAAAGGTTGCCAGAAGTGTAATTTTTTTTAAATTCAGTGATAAATACAGGTCACCGTTAACTTAGTGAAGTACAGTCTTCGTTTTTGCTCCAGCGAGACACAGTTTTTGTGAATCTGGACAGCTGTGTGTCTGGTTTGACCGTCTTCTCCGTCAGCCTTGCTGGGAGTTTCTTAACTCGTCGGCGCTGCTGAGGAAAATGCTGTAAAGGTTACAGGCGGTAATGTGCTGTGTGTCTCTCCCAGCGGTGCAATGGCTGCCAGAACGCGGTGGAGCCCGAGGCTCAGAGGGTCACCTACGGCAGCTTCAACTGGCACGCCGAGCCCGAGTGCTTCCAGTGCTCCTGCTGCTCCAAGTGCCTGGTGGGCCAGAGGTTCATGGCGGTGGAGGGGATGCTCTTCTGCTCTGTGGAGTGTAAGAAGAAGACCATGTCTTAAAGAAGCTGACAGCAATTCCAAAACCAAAAGCTCCAAGGATCGGCGTGTGAAATATGTTAATTCAGCCACGCAGCCACAGATAGCTTTGGCAGGAAAAACAGATTTCTTTACACATCTAATGCTTCCTTTGGTCACTTTTTGTAATTTTCATTGTATTTTTCTGCAGGAGTACTACTGAACTAATCCTGAGCTGCATTAGCCATAACCCAACACATTTTATCTTAGCAGTATTCCCCCCCATCCCAAAGTAAATGCTAAGCTCAAACAGTGAAACAGATGTGGTGCCTTTCGAGTAACTAAAGTAACAAAGACGTTCTGCCATGGGCAGGCTGAGCTTGGTGATGACGGGTTCGAGCCTGGGTCATGTTATTAGCCTACTGTCGCTAGGATTCCCAAGCAGGGGAGATCATTTGGCTGAGCATTGCCAAGGTTAGGGTGGGAATGCGGACTCCTGGGCTCTTGAAGACAGGCGGTGCTGTCAGTGAGTTACGTGCCTTTCCTCCAGAACCTCCAAAATGGGGCTGCGTTCCCCAAGACAGTTCAAGACAACTCTGGTGCACAGTCGCATGGTCACATGGTTAGAGCCTGCAAGCTGACTGTGCTGGGAAATCAAGTACAGTAGGTATGACAAAAAGTATTGATGGTTCTAAGTTTTGGAAAAGTAAAAGAAGCTGTATAGTTGCAAAACTGTAGGGCTACGACAGTATAAATACATTGCTTCAATGGCAGAGGATAAGGTTTTGACTAATTCATTTTTCAGTAGTAGCTTATTAAAGCACAACATCTTTCTAATTACTACTGCAGTATAAGTGGAATTGATTATAAAACTTGTGACAAATCCTACTTTACTGTTCTTTGAATGCACTCTATTTAATAAAATGTTGCAGTAACATTAACTTTTGTTTGCTTTGCTTGTTTTTCAGAGATTAAGCGCTAATAGTATTCTTTCAAGTCAGCTTGTAGATCAAACCAAAGCATATGCATTTTATATTTTATTGCTTGAAGTATGAAATGGATCAATGTGTCATTCTACCTTATCAGTAATCAATTTGAAATTTTAGAGTACTGATTCAATTTGCTGTTATAATGAGCTTTATATTATATATGAACTGGCATACCTTAAGTTTAGATATCTCTGTCAATAACTACTCCCATAGCATAAAGTACAAGTTCCCTTTGATTCTTTGATTTGAACATGGAAATTGCACACAATTCAAGGAAACCCCGCTATTGTCTTTGATGGCAGTGGTCCAAACTGACAAAATAATTTCCATTGTCTCACTACAGTGAAACTAATAACCTGATAATGCTTGGTTAGCCATTACTGTAACTTTCATCTGTGCCTCATTAACAAATTCAGAGAGAAATGTTCTGGAGGGAGCCATCTTTTGATGTTATGTCAGTGTAGTACTGCACAATGTTTTCTCCTTCAAAAAGTTACCTTTTACATTGCATAACATGATTTCAGGAAAGTTTTTTGGTAAATTTCTGTTTGCACAAAAAAGTAAAACATGGCAGAAACTTCTTTGAAGTTTACATCTCTCAGCACTCTTCCGTTTATTTGTATCGTAATGAGTTTTTTTTATTCTTCTGTAATATGGTTCTAGTAAAGTATAGGAAATTGCCACAAGCAGGAAATGCAGATGGAAAATGTGGCATCGTTTTGCAAGAACCCAGTGCCAATCTGGATGTAGCACCAGTGGTATTATCCAAGTAATAACCTTTATAGATTCATTATAGTTGAGTTGATACATTGTAAAATCCTATGAACATTTTTTGGAATTTTCACTTGATAGTTACAGTAGGGTTTTCGTGTATTGAGTGAGAAATTGAATCATGTTAATTTCTGATATTTCTGAGCTGTCTACAAATGCGCTTCCTAAGGGATAAAGAAGTCCCCAATTTCACAAACATGGACAATGAAATCCACAGACTGGCTCTTCATACAATTTCAGCTTTTCTTTGATCTGATTTTTAGCAGCATGGATTGAGGTGGAAATTCTGGATTGAAACAATTTAGTAAATGATAAAAACTACATAGCTTTGTTTAGATTTTTCTTTGATTACCAGCCAAATATATAATAACAGAGAATGAAAATGTTAGCTTTTAAACTCATCCAAATATAGCTTTAAGTCCGCAGTTTAGTCCACTAAAGTCCACTTCACATGCTAAGTGAAGGTATTTGAACAGATGATTTTAGAAGTTAGAAATGAGTGACTTTCATCATTGATGACGGTCTGTATATGTCAGTAGTCACCTATTTCCATCTCCTGAAAATGTCATTAAAAATTATTAGACCTTTCTTTTGCAATATTTTCTTTTGTTTTTGTTTTTCTACTGAAAAACAGAACTGATTTTTTCCCCCGCATTTCTCCTGTGAATATTCCTTAAAGAGAATTCTGAAATACAACATCGCTAGGGGACCACTGTGGGGCGCTATTTTATATCCAAACTGATCTTTGTCTGACATGACCGTAAAATCCAGTACAATTAACTTACCTGACTTGTTTTTACAGAGCTTTTTTTCCAGCATTTTTTACCATTATGCATTAAAACATTAAAAGTTGAAATGTCATTCAGTCCATTAACATAAGTTATTGTGTTTCATTTTTTGTTTTCTCTTAATGCCTTGAAACTTATGCACTGTTTACATTGAGCACTATCTGCAGGACATTGTGTAGAGTTGTCTGTCCTACCGTGTCATCTGCTGTACTGTGTATGTCCCAAGAGATCAGAGCAGAATTCCAACATACATGTACATATGGCAATAAACTCCCCTACTTCCACCTCTCCTAATATAGTGGTTATGTAGTCTAATGTAGTCTAACATAGCATAATGTAACGCAATGTTGTGATTATCTATAAGAACAGTGATGAATCTGAACCAAGTAATAACAGACCAATAGGTATGACTTGTTTTACATGGAAACAATTATTAGAATCAGAGGATTACCTATATGAAAATTAAATGAATAATGAATATACATTTAGAAAAGTTGGTTAGGTCTTACTTGTTGTATATTTAGATTGTAACAAATGCTCAGGAAAAAGTTCTTCATAGAAGATTAATTTTCAAATCACAGGCAATAGCCACTTGGGGAAATGTTTGCATGTTTGAATTTAGAATAGATAAAAGTACGGATATGAGGTACAGTAAACGCTCAAATTAGGGTGATGTAATTAATGGAGTAGGCCAGGGATCTGTACTCAGACTACTGCTCTTCCGAATGGATATCAATAATCTAGATTCTTGTATAGTTTACGAACTAGTCAAGCATGCTGATGATCGTGAACAGAAGGATAAGCTAACACCGTAGAAACAGAAAATGAAATTCAAAATGATAGATAAAATTAAACACTTTGCAAACAGCCAGCTGATGTTGTTTCATGTAAAGAAGTACATTACATTTGTACATGTAGGTTGTAAAAGCTGTATTATATGTCATGTCATTTGCCAAACCGCTTTATACCATACGGTGTCGCAGGAAGCCGAAGCCTACCCAGCAAGCAACAAGTGCAAGGCAGGGTTCACCCTGGATGGGGCGCCAGTCCATCCCAAGCCAATCATACATGGGGACAATTTGGAGGCCATAGTAAAGGCCATGGGGGGGAATTTGGCCCAGACACTGGGATAACTCCCTACTGTTATCAAGAAATGCCCGTGGATCTTTAATGACCACTGAGAGTCAGGACCTCGGTTTATCGTCTCATCCGAAAGACAGCGCCCACTACAGTATAGTGTCCCCGCCATTATACTGGGGCATTAGGACCCACACAGACCGCAGGGTGAGCTCCCCCCACTGGTCCCACTATCACCACTTCCAGCAGCGACCATAGCTTCCCAGGAGGTCTCTCATCCAGGTACTGACTAGGCTCAACCCTGCTTAGCTTCAATGGGTAGCCAGTTGAGAACTGCAGAGTGATATGAGTGTTGGCTTGCTATTTTATATATGAATTATAAATACAAAATGGGAAATGTTGAGGTTGAAGAGGCTAATTAAAAGACTTATGTGTTTATGCAGACATATTCCATCTTCTAGACAATGTGGGTAAGCTATTAAAATGGCAAACAGTCAGAATATGTATATAAAACAAGGGAAATTACAAATTGTGATACACTACTAAGGCCTCACACAAGGCTGGTCACTCCACATCACTCTCAGTCTTTGTTACCAGCAGCTTTATCACCCTGCAACTCACAACTGGCAACCCACTGAAGCTCAGCAGGTGCGAGCCTGGTCAGTACCTGCATGGGAGACCTCCCTGGAAAAACTACTGTTGAGGTGTTAGTAGTGCCAGTAGGGGGGCGCTCACCCTGTGGTCTGTGTGGGTCCTAATGCCCCAGTATAGTGACGGAGACACTATACTGTAAAAAGGTAAAAAAAAAACAAAATCCAGATTCTCTGTGGTCATTAAAAATCCCAGGGTGTTTATTGAAAAGAGTAGGGGTGTTACCACGTAATCTTGGACAAATTTCCCATTGGCTCTTATTAATCATGGCCTCCTAATAATCCCCATCCATGCATTGGCTTTATCACTCAGTTCTCTCCCCACTGGTATGTGGTGAGCGTACTGGTGCACTATGGCAACCGTCGCATCATCCAGGCGGGGCTACACACTGGTGTTGGTGGAGGGGAGTCCCCATTACCTGTAAAGTGCTTTGAGTGAAGTATCCAGAAAAGCACAATATAAGTGTAAGGAATTATTATTATTATGGACTAAAACATCTACAAAAAAATCCATCCATCCATTTTCCCAAACTAGGAGTACCATACCCTTGTCCTGGAGGAGCACTTTATCCAGCTGAGCTTAACATCTCCAGTATTAATTAATAAAATAAGTGAACTACTTGCTTTTTTAAGATTTTATTTCACTTGCTTCTTCAGTCAGTCCAAAGTGTCAGATATACCTTGTTTCAGGTATATCTGAAATTGCTTCCAAGTTGCAAAAGTTACACAGCTTTTCCTCAATTAAGATGCTGTAATTTCTGACTAAACTTACGAGTTGATCGGTTGATGATGAGCAGACACTACTCCTACAATTTAGTTTATCATTTGCATTTGGTTGCATTTCATGCAACACATCTAGAAACGCACTTAATTTCTTTTAGTAAAAGAGTTTGGCATTTGTAGACATCTTTATATTAATGATGTACAAGAGTAATTTAATCAGATTCAATCCTTATTTCATTTTCTGTAAGAAACAGCAGCGATGGTTCAAAAACCCTCAGTTATGTCAAGTGGAGATAAGATGAAATTTCTTTTAAATGTGATATATGGTGATTGCAGTGGAAATCTGGAATTACTGTATATTCCATCAAAGAGCAGAAGCAATGAACAGAACATAACTCATATGTGCTTCAAGGAACCCACTGATAGTCATTCAAGAGAAGCAAGCTGGAAGGAGGGTTTGCCTAGGTTTGTTTTTCTAGTCAGGGCATTTTGCATGTCTTCCCTCTTAAACAATATCATGGGAAATTTAAGGCTGCTGTGCAAAGACATGGACATTGTGCATTTACAGCCTATATACAGTACATACTGTGTAGCCATGCCTGTGTAGGAGAAGACAACAGTAAAAAATAATACATGTGCATCTTAAGCATTCTTTAATATGGTATTTAATTGTTATAATAGACAGCTTCGCACTGTTTCCTGAGGAGTTTTTATATTTTTGTGTAATACAGTGCACATATGATCCATCAGATCAGATTTTGTCCATTGTTTTGCAATAGTCTGATTTCTTTGTTTGATGTTTTTGGGGACTGCGGTGAAGACACGAACTCTCGCTGCCCCTGAGATAATTGCAGATTATAATCATTTAAACATTCACTCTTTGTTTTGATCCAAGTGCTCTTTTTATTTTTCAAACACCACACCCAAGAACATATTAAACATC